CTGATAGTAAGTGGTTACTGCGGCCCGTAGACATCTACATCCATCTACGATTACGAATCAAAGTGCAGATGCGTTGTCACCCGTGAGGACTAAGATGGAATGCCTCGTTTCCAGTAAAAAGGATCTCCGGTTCTCTACACTCACCATACGAAACACAGCAGCGTTAAGGCGATACCTCCAGCGAACGACCTTGAGCGTTTGGTCTGTCGACGCTCGCTACAATATATCGCGTAAGAAATCGCCAAAAGACGCCACCTACTGCTACGAACGTAGTATTATTTTTTCAATGTCAATGAACTATTCTATGGAAATAGACACGGCGTACAATGATAAATGTATTTTAATTTTCTTTATTCGGTATATTAGTTGCATTATATTAGAATTATGTATTCTAATATATTATCTAATTAATAAAAATGACTATTTTGATTATTTTTAACTATATACTATACTGCTAATATTGAATTAGCTTTTTATAGTGTAAATTATAATATTTGTCAAATATTAATTATGGATTCGAACTTTACATGCTAATGGTGCTTCATTTTTGTTATTTTCATTTACTTACATATTGAAAATATACTTGAATAGTAGGTATTATTATTTTATTTAGCTACTGAATTTTAGGATATGGTTTACCTTGAGGTCAAATATAATTTTAAGGAGCAATAGTTATTACTTACTAATCTTTTATCTGCTAATTAAGTTTATATAATTATAGTATAATTGAGTTTGAGGGGAGATTTACTGTTTATAATGCTACATTTATTATTTTAATATTTACCTACTGGGTAGGTAATTATTAAAATAATAAATATAGCATTAGTAACTAAATAGATATTTTTTTTTAATTTTCAAAATTAAAATTTTCGTATTTTTAAAAATTACTAAAAAAAAGGGTTTGAAATAATAGATTTTTTCGCAAAAAGAAGGGAACTTGAAAAAAAAGGAAAAAAAAGCGGGACCAAAGCCAAGACGCGAACCACGGAACTCCGATATCACGCCCGACCGACATACCACCTGAGCTATAACGACCGTTAGTGATTTGTCGAAATTTACCTTCTTATATTGTAGCAGTTTTTTATTGCCTGAAAACATGGACAAAAGGACATTTTCTAAAAATAAATCCAAGCGTTCGTCGCTAAAATCGTTGGAACCGTATAATTTTCTCATCTGGTTCGGTTATATAAATATTTAAATATATAAAAATTATAAATTAAAATGAAAAGATAAATATACATAAATATCAATAAAATAAAATAAATACAAAATAATATTATATTATTACTGTTATTATTATTATTATTATTATAAGTTGTGGTTCGGTGAAGCTGCAACCTAATGGACCATGATCTGAAATTTTTATGAAAAGAAGTGGCTGACGTCAATTATTATTATTCTTATTATTTTTTCATTACTGCCTTTTTCAAACTCACAAGATATTTGTAACTGCAAAAAAAGAAAACAACGTATAAGTAAGTAAATCAGTAATATAGTGTTATGTATGATTCAGACTAAATAAAGGTTCCTAAAAATAGACGTAGATAAAGAAATTCCATAAAAAATTACTCAAATAAAAATGCAATAAACTTGTTAATTTTATAGGTACTTAGTAAAATATTAAAATAATAAGTTTTTTAGGATATTTATGTAAAACATAAAGGTTATATTATGTTCTAACTACGTTCACGCTTGCGCATATAAAACCGCGGAATTTCACTGGTTTTATTATCAAAATAATAATTGACAACCCTACCCTAAGTTTGCCTTGATTTTACCAACTCAAACTCGTTTTAGGAGATCAAAACATAGAGAGAAAGATAGGAGACTATTTTTTATTTAATATGGTTGGATCTTTATTTATTTGTATATTTTTTGTATTTATTTTATTTTATTGATATTTATGTATATTTATCTTTTCATTTTAATTTATATTTATAAAAACCAACTAGATGAGAAAACTATACAGATACCCCAACAATAATAATATAATAATAATAATATTCCACAACTATCGCACAACGCCATCTAGTCCCAAGCTAAGCAGAGCTTGTGTTATGGGTACTAGACAACTGATAAACATACTTATATATTTCTAAATACATAAATATTATAGATAAATTACACCCAGACACAGAACAAATGATCGTGCTCATCACACAAACATTTGTCCTGGGTGGGAATCGAACCTACGACCTGCGGCATAGCAGTCAGGGTCACTAACCACTAGACCAACAGGCCTGACGATAAATGAAATAAAGTCTCTAGCACGAGAGGAGAGGAGCCGTGGTAGCTCAGATGGTTAGCGCTTGCTAAAATTTTCACAGTGTGCGAGCAATCCGGGTTCGATCCCCGCCGGCACCAATAATATTGTAATTGCAATTTTAAGTGTTGATTTACCACGTGCTCAGTGGTGAAGGAAAACATTGTGAAGAAACCGGCATGTCTGAGAAATAAGAAAAAAAATATTTCGAAGACATGCAAAGTTCGCCAACACGCAGTGGGGCAACGCGGTGGATAATTCCTTTCCTAGGACCCTTTCAGAAAATAGAATAGAAATAAAAAAAAATAATAAATCCAAACTTCATTTAAAACCAAACATATAAATTGTAAAGTAGCTGCAGGTATCTATAACCAAGTAAAAGATATTCCTTTACTCCAACTTGTCCATGTTTCCCAAAACAATTTTTAATTAAGCTTTATATTATAATGCGGATTTTTTATATTTAAAATTTTAATAATAAAGCATTTCGTACGTCTCAGCCAAGGCTCAAATATTTTTCGGCCGCAAATTTATAAGACCGATTTGTTATTCAAACATAAACATGGTTTTTTAATTAAATCTACCAATCATAAAACGACACGTATTTTTATTGAACACTTCCTATTCAATTCACAAAGTACCTATTATATTTGTTTATATAAAAAAGTATATTTAAGTACAATCATAAAACTAAATGGAAACACAAAGTAGGAAAATGCATTGAGTTATAAAACACATAAATCAATGGGCAAATGTAAAAATACTGGAGGCAGGCAGCCCTATCGCATGTTTACGTACCGCACGGCTGTAATATTTATTTCTAAGATACGGCCGAGTTACAATATACCGTGACGTAAGCGCATCGGTTGGTAAGTACTCAAATAATATTATGTTTGCGGCGAAATACGGAACGCGGCGACCAGCGACGCGGCCACCTCGTATGAACGCATACAGCGTAATGCCGCCCGCACTCTGCGCACGCCCCTTTATCATAGAAATCACACAATTTTCGGAATTATTTCAATTAAAAGAGAAAAAGCGAACTTAAAAATTTTAAATAAAACGTGGAGAATATAGATTTTTTAATTATCTATCCATTAGTGTTATCCTCAAATGATTAGAGCGTTGCTTTTAGCAACAGATGCATGTAATCAAGAATTTTAGTCATTTTTTAAAAGTTGATTTTAAATGTATTTATAGCACATAAAAATAAATTAGAACGTGGAATGTGATGATAAGATATCGAACATTAATAATGTACTTTTAGATGTAGTTTATTTTTCATAACTAATGAGATAATAGAGTCTGAAAAACGCACTTTCGCAACATTTTGGTCAGGGATTCACCTTAAGCTGCTATTTTACGCTGGTATTCTGTGAGAGCGTGGTCCTTCCCCGGTCGAGCCGACCCATTCGTGCTACAACTATACCAGTAATATAGCTGTAGCATGGCTCTACCACGTATAACTGTTTTGCGAAATACTAAATACGATTCAGTAAATGGTTCAGCTGACCACAAAGAGTACCATATGATTGCAGTAAAGATTATGATTATGAAAAGAAGTGGTAAAATTAAAAATTTGTACTTCCGACTTTAATAGATCAACTTCGACAGAAATGAGGGTGTACCGTGGTACACTGAACACATTTGCGTACCCCTTTAGAGGGTACAGGAGTTCGAAACTCATCATCAGATTTTTACGAAATTTTAATTAATTTTAGAATAAATCTCGTTCGCCCAAAAAGTTTTTTGCAAATCTGTCCATATGTAACGGAGTTATGCCATACACAAAAAAACGTAACAGATACGAAAACATACATTAAAATTATAAACATCTGAATTGAGAACCTCCTTTCTTAAGTCTTTTTATCATCTATAACTCATTTTAATACCTCCCTGATCTAACAAAATAATATATTGTTTTTTCTTTATCCTGATGGTAAGTGAATGATGTGGCCCATGGACATATAAATTTAGTATTTATTAATAAATATATATATATATATATATATATATATATATATATATATATATATATATATATATATATATATATATAGCTCAAAGTCGAATTGAGACCTCCTTTTTTGAAGTCAGTTGAAATTTATCTCCGGTTATCATCAATCGCAAATCGCAATACTAAACACAGCAGCAGTATAATTCTATTTCACTCTGGTATTCTGTGATAAGTCTTTGTAATATTCATATTTTAGAATTAAGCAGTGTGTTTAACGATTACGTCACTCAATATTAAGTGAAGCCAATTTAAAAAAAAACGTTAACCCCACAGCAGAAATATCTTCTGTGTATTAAATCCCTTCAGTTTGACATACATTAATTCCACAAGGACAGACAACCAACCTCAAACAATTATTTGTAGATCATATGAATACTTTTTCCGTGCGGGATTCGAATCGCAGTGCCGCGGCCAGACACTTAGGCACTCCGCTACTGAGTATATAACAAGATGACAGAGATGTTTTATTTTAAAGTTCTAGTTGGTTCTACCCTGGTCAGTTTTTTTTTCGAACTAATGTTACAAGCGTATTAAATTACTTTCAATAAATATTCTTACAATCTTCTTATTAAATAAAAATGATTATGTTCGATTTTATTCTATTTATTTTATTTTATTTACATCGTCGCCTCGCGGTTTGGCCAATGTCAATAAATTGTAAATAATTGAAACTTTGTTCTCCAGATATGTATTCTTTTTAAACTTATTGGTCTTTTACAGGCACCGGCCGTCTTGTATCACTTTGCGACGACAACAGTCTACACTTATGGGAGATAAACGAGAAATCATTGGTGGAGCTCAAATCACACACATTTGAAGGCAAAAACAAGAAGATATCTTCTCTATGCGTGGAGTCCACTGGCAAGAACCTGCTGATGGGCACCGAAGGCGGCAATATATACAGCCTGGACCTAAACACAATCACAGTACACGAAGATGTTATATATCAGGATGTGGTTATGCAAAAGTGAGTAGTACTTTTTTCATATTAACTTATATTACTGTAAAGAAACATGGTTACTTGGGAAATAATCGTTTGTCTTAAATTTCATAGTAAGCAAAATATCTATCTCCGCTAGCATAATCAGCGAAATTATCATTAGCAATTTTAAGTGCATTATTATGAGTATGAGCATAACGTTGAACATCAACATAAAAAAATACTTGCATACGTGAGAAATAAAAATATTTCTAGGAATTAAGTCCAAAACGACCAAACTGATGAGGAAGATATAGGGAGGCTTGTGCCCTGTGCTGGGAATAAATATAGGCAGTGAATATTATTCTTAATTAAATCTAAGTCAATTGATTGAATTGATTGGAAAAAAAGAGTGTGCAATCTGTGCGTGCTTTGAGTAATGATATATGGATCTTGAGACGTGGTCCTTCGCTGCTAGCCGTATGAGAAGCTCAACCTCGCTTAGCGAATTGTAGAGAGGTCTATACTCGGAGTTTCTCTGCGCAATAGACTTAGTAATTTCCACACTAGAACCAGAGTAACCGACATAGCTCAAAGCATCAGCCGGCTTAAATGACAATGTGCCGGTCACAGAAATTGAAAAACTGACAACCGATAGGAAATAATGTTTCTAGAGGGGCTGCCTCGTATTGGTAAGTGAAGTGAAGGGCGGCCCCCGAAACGAAGTGGAGTGACAACTTGTAAGATATACAGAAATTCGATGAATGCACGTGACTTAGGATTGTTTTGTGGCATCGCTTGGGGGAACATAGGCTATAATCAGCAGTGAACTTCTGTTGCTGCGATCGCCAATCAAATCCAATATAATCCAAGAGAGTGAATGATACACTTTAAAATATTTCAAGTCAACTATGAATAATTTTTAAGAATTTATTGCACAGTATAAATAATACCGTTTTCATTTTCAGCTGTCCAGAAGACTTCAAAGTGAATCCGGGAGCTGTTGAAGCGATATGCGAACACCCAAAAGTGCCCACGCGGTTACTCATTGGTTACAATCGTGGCTTAGTGATCCTCTGGGACCGGGTGGCTGCCTCGCCCACACACACCTTCGTATCTAATCAGCAGTTGGAGAGCCTGTGTTGGAATGACGACGGTACATATCTTTCTTGTCAACTATTTCTGTAAATTTATCATAAAGTCAAACATTTCTTTTTCTTGATTATTTAAAAATAAATGGTGTGCTTTGTGTGAATAAAGCATTAGAAATATGTCTATGAAATATCCTTCCTGAGGCAATCTGTGGGCGAGGCCTATTTTCAGCAGTGGACTTTAATAGACTATAACGTAATGTGCTTTTTTTTTGTTTATATGAAAGTTACCCAACAGTAGAATTTTGAAGTTTTGACGTGAAGTTCGCCAACACGCATTGGGGCAGCAGAAGATGTCCTTGCTCTAAACCCCTCTCAGAAATGAGAGAAAGCCCGTGCCTAGCTATAGGACATATACAGACTGTTAGTTTTATATAACTATATAGTAATTATTATTATACATGACAAAAGAGCTAACAGTACGAGTACACCTGTTAAGTAGCTACCACAATGTTAAGTGGCTACCATAGACACTTGCAACCAATTTCAAACACAGAAGGCTACATTATGTCTTATCACCCTAAGAACTTACCTGAAATACCTTACAGACAACGTGTACAGCTGCTTTACTGCAGAAATGCGCAAGATTTAACATTATAGTCTCAACCGTGTAACAAATTAAATTTCCTTTATTCCATTCTTTCTAGGCGAGCATTTCACATCGTCCCACAACGACGGATCATATGTTACTTGGGAAGTGGCAGGAGCTTCAAGCGATCGACCATTAAAAGAGCCAATTACACCATATGGCCCCTACCCCTGCAAGGCCATCTCTAAAATTCTCATCAGAACTAGTATCGATAATGACGAGATTATTATTTATGCTGGTAAATAACTTTTTATACATATTTATTCGCTAGTGGTTAACCACTTTTTAAAGAAAAAAAAGAATATTAACAATGCTATAAACATTACTAATATGGGGAATATTAGTAATGTTTATGGCATTGTTAATATTCTTTTTTTTAACTACTCGTGGGAAGCTTAAATTGCTTGTGTTACGAGTGGTTCACGCCAGTAGTCGAATGGTGGATTCGAACCCACGACCTTTTTGAGTTCGCGGTCCGCGCCCTGCCATTAGGCTACTGTCGAACCACTGATCAAGAAATAGTACCTTTGTAAGGCATAAACACAACTGATGCGATAAAACCCTCGCTGCGCAGTTAATATCTTCTAATATTTTCAATTTGTCGGCGCGGTTGAAATCAACAGGACGAAGACATCATAATTCTATCTTCATGAATGTGTGTGCATGCCTAAGTGCGTGTTAAATTTCTCAAGAACAAATGATAATATCTACACTTATTCGACATATACGATTAGCTATTAAATTAGAAAAAGTTTATTGGAAGACATTTTTAATATTCACATGGCCAGGCAGTCTCAGAGAATACAGTGTCACCTCATCTTGTCTTGAGAGTGTGTTGGAACGTCACCTATAGAAAATGCCTGCAAGATTTCGTAGATTCTGAAAGATGGTGGTGTAAAAATCATGTATGCCATATGTAAAATACATAAACCAATGGAAACCTTGTCACCAACAAAAAGTAACGTAAGGAATCTGCGAGGCGTCTGAATCTATAATCACCAATATGTCTTTCAAGCGTAAAGAGGCTTTCATCCAACAGGGAACAGCCATTAAACATTTTATTAATTAATTTAAACTTTACCTAAAAAACTAATCTTTACGTTTACATTTTTAACAATTTTATTTACAACTACAGGTGGCATGCCCCGAGCGTCATACTCGGACAAATATACTGTCACAGTACAACAAGGAGAAAAACATGTCGCCTTTGACTTTACAAGTCGAGTAAGTGCATTTTTTATTCATAACTTTGTGTTAGTTGTACTTTAAAGTTTCAGTTACTATGCGTTACATTGAGTAAAAATAATTTTGTAGGTTTACTCTAGTACAATTTTAACTTACTTTTTGATTTCCGACGTTTTGAACTCTTTGAAGCACTTATGTTTACTTGTTTACTAAGATACTGAACATACGGTAACGTTACTATAAATATTAACCCTTCAATCCCCATAAAATTCCCATGCAGTCGCATGCGCCCGGCAAATCCCGAGCGGTCGCATGCGAACGCACCCACCCACAGCACTTAAAACAATTAAAACTTATATTTAGAGATTACTTTTCTATGAATATACATAACTCTCTATCCTGTGGTCTAAACAAAAGTCAGGTTTTACTTCATTACAAAAAGATTTTATTGTATTTTGATAACAAAAAAAAAATACATCAGCGAATGTACCAATGTACCAGCGTGAAAATATTATATTCACACATAAACTTTTATAATAAAACATTATTGTAAAACACTAATAAATCACTAGAAAAATCCAAAAATCAACACAACATCCAAATGAACATGGCGTACATGAAGATTAGAGAACAGGAGAACGATCGCTGTAGAAAATAGTGTCCCAGAAATATGGACACCATAAGTGAGGAGCTGCGATCGCTAAGTTCGGTCAATAACTTTTTCTAATTTTAATTTTCAGTCTATTTTTCCGATCAGATGCTAAAGCACTTGCACATCCACGCACAATGAAATATTTCTCCATTTTTAATGTTTCTTTTTGTCAAAAATTACAAAATTACAGAGCATGAAAATTTTCTCATTAAAAATGAAATGAAAATTTGTACATTATTCAACTAACTTCACCTACTTGTACTCATAAACAGCTAACTTCGCACTCACTACTCACCGACGTCAGCGCCGCTATATATTCTACAATTTTCAAGGGCAGGCGGGCTATGCTTTAGTACATAGTGATCGTTCGCCTGTTCTCTAACCTTCATGATGGCGTACGTAATGAACGTAGAATATAAATTAATATCCATAGACTAACTATTTTTTTTATTCCACTACAGAATAGAACATTTCATATTGATTCTATAATGCCAAACTTGTTCCTAGAAAAGTAGTCTCTAAACATAAGTTTTTATGGGTTTAAGTGCTGTGGAGAAATATCGAAGCGGTCAAATTTGGTCGCTTGGTGTTTGAGAGGTTAAATCGCAGAAGTTAGGTATGTCCTCTTCAACAAGTAACTAAATTAAAAAAGAGATTGTGTATAAAAAAAAACAATTGTGTGGCAATTGATAAATACACTCTCGTCAACGGTGGCGTAACCATTGCTCGAGAAAAAAATATATGAAAATTTACATATATCACTTAACTCGCAGTCGCTCGATTGTAGATACGTTGATATCCATAAAACCTAAGATAGAATGTCTTGTTAAAATTTCACACCATATGAAACACAGCAGGAATATTTAAACGTTTCTTTTACGTTATAGGTAATCGACTTTTTCACAACGACCCCAGTACCGCCAGATGGCGTTCCCGTGCAAGAAGAGCGCCCCGAGACACCGGCACAGCTCTCCGCACAAACCGTCAATCAAGTTGCTGCGGCTCTGGTAAGACTACACAAAAGTTTTCATCACAGCGCATATACGTTATCTAGTTTTAATGCCAAAAGGATAATAAGCATTTTTGATGTGAAAACTTCTTTAAAATCGTTGTAAATTAATCTCGACGAAACGAAACATCGACACTAAAAAGAGACAAACATTTGCATCTGTAGGATTTAGCCTGCGAGAGAATGAGATAGAATACAGTACACAATATAAATTGTCACGTTGTTTGTCCACGATGAACTCATATACTACTTAACCGATTTTAATTAAATTTGGACACCGTGTGCAGTTTGGTCCAACTTGAGACATAGGATAGTTTTTCTGCCCAAATTTTTTTTGCGAATTTAACATGTTTTAATAGGATATGACAAATTGTCATCGAAAAGGGCAGAACAACGTCTGCCTGGCAAGCTAGTTTATTATAAAAATGTATTTATTTATGTTTTGATTACAGAAAATCTCATACAATTATCTTACTCCTGGTAATTTTCTCACTTGTACCGCTTGTGAGCTGCACACATGTTTTTTTATTTTTCTTTTTTATTTCCAGGTGGTGCTAGCTGAGGAGGAGCTTGTCGTTATAGACTTATGCGACTCCCGCTGGCGGCCGCTGCGCCTCCCGTATTTAGTATCTGTGCACGCGTCGGCCGTCACCACGGCGCAGCTCGTCGACAACGTCGCCGCCAACGTGTACGACAACATCGTGGCCGCCGGTGAGCCGCGCACACTGCATACATACCACAAATTATGCTCATTTCCACTTTCAGACTGTATTTTACGTGGTGCTGCACTTATACTTGTAGTATAGTTGTAGCACAAATGGGTCGGCTCGACCGGGGAAGGACCACACTCTCACAGAATACCAGCGTAAAATAGTAGCTTAATGCTGCTTGCTGTGTTTCGTATGGTGAGTGTAGAGAACTGGAGACCCTTTTTACTGGAAACGAGGCATTCCACCTCAGTCCTCACGAGTGATAACACATTTGCATTTTGATTCTTAATCGAGGATATATGTAGATGTCTATGGGCCACAGCATCCACTTACCGTCAGGTGGACTGTGTGCTCGTTTGTCACCTATATAAAAAAATGGTTAGAAATACGACAAATGCGAATGTAATGATTTACTGCATTGTTCATAGTGCGTCCAGCTCGGATGTTTAATTTTCCAATGTCTACAATTATATTCAATCAAAATCTGGGTGTCTTCAAAGCAAGAGTGAATATGCTGTTATTACCAATTTATGGTGACCACCGTAAGGTTTTAGTCGGTAGAAGACCGACGTAAATTTCACGTTGTCCCCACAGCGAATATATCCGTGAGAAATTCTCCACGTAATAAAAGCCAGTGTGCTTTACCATTTTTTGCTACATTACCATTTTGAGTTACCGTGTAGTGACGATATAAGAATATACACCACACCAATATCATCCCGTGGGTATCGTAAGAGGCGACAGAGGGAAACAAACCAAGACATGATGGGCAGCAGCATCTTCCTAATAAACAAAAACTGCGATTGCTAACCCACTTGCCAAACGTGGCAACCATGGCAAATATGGGCAGGTCTATATACAGCAGTTGACTTGAATAGGCACATAGAGTAAAAGTTCAAGTTGGCGTATCCCTAATAGGCGAAAATCTAATCGAAATAATAAATATTATCTAAAATATTTTCCTCATTATCTTCACAATTATAATGAATTAGTTATAATGAAAACAAGAGAAATATACGTAATGATGAAAAGAGCAAATGTGCCCATTGTATGTGTATAAATGATTCGGCGATTGTAATTTTTCCAAGTTTTTATCTTTAGTCAAGAGAATTGTCTTAACCCTTTCCCATAAAAATTATTGAGGGCATATCCTTCGAGCAAGGCACGTTGCCTTGGGCACGTGGCACGCGTACCACTTACTAGGAAATTTTGATCTGTTGTCTGCAAATATTATGTATTAATTTAAGAAGTTCTTTATGTTAATCACATTTTTTACGTGGTAGAGCCGCGCTGCAGCTATATTATAGTTGTAGTACGAATGGGTCTGCTCGAAAGGGGCAGAATGGATGTGTTTAGCAGAAAAAAGCGCTAGGAAGCGCTTGTAAGCAAGCAAGCTAAGCGGTAAGCGCTGTCAAATTGTAAATAGTTATTTTCCTCTAGGACGCTAAGTTAGCTTTAACCGGGGAACCAAGCCTAGTTTAAATAATTGTTTGTAAAGTATCATGAAGTAATAAAATATTAAAAAAATGTAGTGAATGCGATAGAAGAACAACGAGGTGGAAGAAAGGTTTCTCGGTGATGATATTGCTAATATCGCTGCTCCCTCATTATTAAAAAAAAAAATCCGGGTATTTACTATATTTATTATTTTACATGTAGTTTATAAAAATTTTAAAAAATAAATTAAGCAAAATGGCGGATTGTGTCAGCGCTACTGAAGTTAGTAAAACTGTGTAGTTTGTTTTTCAACGCTAGTAAGCGCTCTCAAGCGCTTTTTTCAGCCAAACACACCCAATACCAGCGTTAAATAGCAGCGTAATGCTTCTGTGTTTCGTACGGTGAGTGTAGATAATGATACGCTTTTTACTGGAATCGAGGCATTCCATCTTTGTCCTCAGGAGTGACAACGCATTTGCATTTTGATTTTTAATTAAAGATTAATGTGGATGTCGATGGGCCATAGCATCCACTTACCATCAGGTGGAATGTGTGCTCGTTTGTCATCCAATGTGTCGGTATCTTAACGGCAGAAGCGCATATCATCGATGTATCCCTAATTAAAATATATCCTATGGAGCATTTATCTGAGAACAGCACTATAATTATTGGAAAACATTTGCTTTGCAGGGCAGCAGCAAACGGAGAATGTATACTCGGAGAGTGCTTGGCCTATCTCGGGCGGGGAGGTGACCAGCGCCGAGACGGAGGCGAGCGAGCGCCAGTTGCTGCTGACGGGACACGAAGACGGCTCCATTCGGTTCTGGGACGTGAGCGGAGTAGCCATGACGCCTCTCTACAAGTACACCACAGCACAACTCTTTAGGTGAGCACTATACAACATGTAACATAATTAACGCACTTCCTGGAAGTAGTTTGTTCAGAATCGTTTACTGAATCGATTCCTATCATTTTTAATATAGGTAACTTTCTATCCCAAAAATAATTAAAACTACGTAAATTACAGTCACACTAAATCTTTACAGTCAAAACAAACTGAAATGGACCGTAACTTAAGGCAATAAGACTTTTAAGAGTGCAGTTTTATTTGTATTATTACTAATTCTGTCATTCAATAAAAAATAAAGAAAAATTAACTTTATTTCAAGCAACTTAAGGTATTTGCGTTCGCGGATTTGTACTGTGACCACAACAATTCTTCCGGAATTAGTATAACTAATTTGATAAATAATCAGTGCATAAAAATGTTTAACTAAAAATTCAGTGTATGTATTATGATTATAACATAATATACTGATTGGGATGTCTGAGGGTGTGCGTTAATTACGTTACCTATTGTATATAGGCAGTATATCTTTGTTTGGTTATATTGAAATGGTCCTTGATATATTTTATAATTTCAGTCAGTGGTGATAACTAATGGTAATAAATTGGTTACAAGTGGCAAATAAATGATAAACGATATTTACTAAGTTTGATTCTGAACCACAACTGAATATCTTCAACATTAATAGGATTAAATATAGATCATTGCTTATATATTCCTAACCTTAGTAATGCATACAGATGAAAAAGTTGATTGTTGAACACTTGGCATAAGCTCTTTATGTTACTGTAAAAAAATTGCATTTAGACGGTTTCAATGAAAAAAAAAATGTGTATAGGTTCTTTAGCTTTACCCACATGTAACCCTATACAACATGTTATAGCTTAATATGTCGTTACAAAGTTTAACCATTTGTAAATAAGAAATTAAATATTTAATACAAAATTTAAGAGTCTCATTTGCTTAGGACAAATATTTCTATCTAACAATTTGTTTTGCTTCTCGCTTGCGACGCTACGAAGCGGGCTGAAACGTGCGACCACGAGGTAATAAACGGTTTTTGTAAGCATGAGTCGTGTCTATGGAGCTTTTTGCTAACTTTTATTTATTGCAATGTTTTTCTTTTTGTTTAATAATAATATTAGTTTTCGTCGTGTTTCAGTTACCCAAAGAGATGTCTGTTTTTTTGTCGAATTTCTTTTTAAAGCTACTAATTTTACTACTGTTTTTTACTATTAATTAAGAGATGATTTTCGTTCCGTGCTTTTACAATAATATTTTAGAACTAATTGAAATTCATCAATCATAAGTCGCATAATTAAATATTTAGGTTTTCATTAAAATTTCGTTTCACATTCACAAAGCATTGGTTGTCATTTCCCTTTGTTTTAACGTTACCTCCACGATAGCATTTTCTCCTGTGTCATGGTCATACACAAATTGCACTAGGACATACCGACCCGTAACAATTATTTATGGGCCAAAAAAACAATAACTCTGTGCGGGATACGAACCTGCGTCACGACCAATTGCTTAGCCAATGCGCTACGGAGCTGTCATACTCCCGTTCATCATTCCCGTCTATTTTAATTTCTAAAGTTATACTAGCAAATTTCATATTAATATATATGCAATACATCATAGGCATTTCCAAAAATACATCAGCTGGAATAGAATGAATATCTTAATAGAGTTGTTCATTCAAACCACATTGCCGGGCAAGCTGTTGAGCGCGGAGCGTTTAAACAAATGTAATTGAATTGTATTCTTGAACAAAAATATCACTGATAGATCACTGTTTAGTTTATATCTTAAATATGAAGACAGTTATACTATCAAAATAGTATTGTTGTAGTGTACAGGCTTATTTTTTAAAGAGTAGCCAAATTTTAGACTTATATTGAAATGTATAATGATATACCGTTATTGCACTTTTTGAAAATATGAGTAAAATAAGGCTTCTACTTTTATTTGAAATTATCCCAAATTGAATGTATGTATGGACAAAAACGCTTTTACTTACCGATCGACTCTTATGAATGTGTTAGTTCGCAGTAAAATAAGTTAAAATAATGTATTACCACGTATTTAGAATTTAAAAGATAAAAAGGACAGAATTTTGAGTTTTTTTTTAATTTAATTTTTGTTCACTATTCGCCTATATTACTCATTCTGAGCCTTCTTTGCAAATTTGGCCGGTTATTGCAAAATAACTAGGTACACCACGTTTGGATTGCCTTGTTGGTCTAGTGGTCATAATAGCGACTGCTGATAATGTGTTCCCGGGTTCGAATCACGTGTTGGGCCAAAAGTCAGTTATTGGATATTTCTGTCTAGAAATTCTCAGTAGCAGACCGGGACAGAAACACCTCCATATGCCTCGCAAAGCTGTTCGTGCGTCTAATTTCTCTCGGGTCGTGTAGCTGTCCCATCAAATTATGAGTGTGACGGAGTAGAGAATGCACCTGTGCTTACGCACACGTTCGTCGCCTAATTCGGTCTAGAGGACATTATAAGCTAACTAGAGTATGTCAAACAATTTGGTTAAGGAGTGTAGAAGTAAGGAGTACCAACTCCCATAGTAGTATAGTTGAAAAAGTGGCCATCTATAAGCAGTAAATAACAGTTCAAAACCTCTCCACAACAGCGCTGGAGTAGCTACTGGTATGAAATGAATTTAGCAATTAGCGACGGTTTAAGTGTGCTGCTAAACTGCTCAGTAGCTCTAAAATCTAAAATCATTTTATTTAGTAAATATAACCTCGAAAAAGTCGTCTATCCCACTAATATTTTTCGGTGCGTTCTTTAAAATTTAACCAGTAGCTATAGTGGCGCCACGCTTATTTAAAGGTTTTTATGGACACTTTTTAATACACACTCTGTACTCTTTACTTCTACAGTCCATAAATTTGGTAGGATTTTGATTAAAACATGTTTTATTCAACTATTTAACAGCATGTTGGCACAACACTAGATATTATTTTTATATACAGGTAATATAAACCAAACTGGGCATATAAATACTTTTACACATTTTATAGGAGTAGTGTGGTAAAATGAATTTACAGTTCACCTCTTGGTAAGTGAACATACTGGTATTGAACAATTTCAGCTTAGCGCTGATGGGCAGCATAGACAACATCTATTAGGAATCAAAATGCAGATGCGTTGTCACCCCTGAGGGCTAAGATGAAATTCCTCAACATCAGTGAAAAGTTCGTCTCTCACATTACGAAAGACAGCAGCGTTATTCTGCTAATTGGCTTATATAAATTCAAGCGTTGTCTTTCCTGGGTCGTTCCGCCTCTTTCGTACTGCAACCCTAAGCTGCGGTGCAGCACACGTGTTTTTATTATTTTATTTAATAGTTTTAAAGTTTCTTAAGGTTTAGAATTATTCAAACACATGAACAATATCGCCGGCACATATTATAAAAATTAGAGTCATATGTTTTAATATGTCACATTGCATTTAAGCCTGCTTACACCCAGTTAACAGCAACAAACTCCATCATAATATGTTATTGTTATTATTTTCACAGTGCATATAAATACGTTCTAGAAGAGCATGTTTATAGATTATTATCTAAGATTGAAATTATTATGTTAAGAGGACACCTTGAAAATGAATCGTAGTTTGGGGACATGGAGTTATATCAAGCACGCGCTCGAAAAAACTAAGTAAGCGCCAAACAAATTTTTTTTATTTAAAAAAAAAGTTTGATATGGATTGAAAAAATGGTTTGGGAGAACTTAGATATGATTAGATTAGAAATATTGTGGTGTCATGGAGAATTGTCACTAATTATAGCCTACTTTGCAATTTTTTTTCTATCGAGAAAATTACATGTTATCGTGTTTTCCTATAATATATAGTCAAGAATCATATACCAAAAATTTGGAGTTATATAAAACATATTATTGTGCTAGTAAAAAAAATATAAAATAAACCGAAGAATCGTTTTAGAAGTAATATTGCATTCAATTGTAAATAGTGCAAAATGCACACACCTAAAAATTAGTGAGGTGCTATTCTAGTCGATAGTGTAATATCTATTATTTATGTTTATCCATTTTTTAGCGGTGAAGAGATAGGCGAGAACAACGACAGTCAGAACGATGAGGAAGAATGGCCCCCATTTAAACGCGTCGGTACATTTGATCCGTACAGTGATGATCCAAGACTGGCCGTTAAACGGGTAAGACTTCAAAATAACATACGTTATTTAGTAGAAACAATGGTATTTTTATTACTTTTTAGATGTTTAATTTATTTGCTAAATAAAATAGTCTTGGTCGAAGTTGGACGTAACTATAGTCAACCAAATCTAAGAAATACCTTTTGATGTTTCATATTAATCATTCCGCAATAATTTTGCACAAGCGTACTCACACGATTTAAAATAACATTTCATGTAAATCCGAAGAATTATGATGTTATCTATATTTCATTACAACGTTTATAGTTTTTTATCACTAATTTAATTTCGAATCTTTAAAACAAAGCAAAATATTTAAAAAATAACCAGTATCAACTTTTTTACTTGACCTCGTGTCAATGATACGTCGCTATGTACCTTATCCGTAGTGTTTAGATGATTAAAATTCATTTTTATGCGAATAATCGACAAAAATATTCAAATATTCGGTAAAACTATTCAAATAATGGAACCTCGAATATTTTTTTAATGTATTATTTGTTTAATTACATTTTTATTTTTGAAATTCCTTAAATTACATAAATCATGAATAAAGTTTATTTTTTACTTTGTCAACGTAAATTTGTGTATGCAAAAAACTCATATACAAGGCCGCGCTGAAAAAACCACTTCGTAATTTCAATCTCCCGCCATTTCGAGAGCTTACTGTGCGTAATTTTGTGATTTTGTGTTTGTCTTCTTATTTTGTGACTCGGCTTTAACTTTTTGGACTGTCCCTTCTATATTCGTTGAAGCATGTGCCCATGTCACAAAGGATGATTGGCAGTACCGTCTTTACCTTAAGGGTACACGGGGCCCATGTCCAGGGCCCAAGTATCGTCACGTGGGCCCCGTGACGAAAGGCATCGGCCTTACTCGCTTATGTCATACAATCTTTTTCTATTTTAGGAAAATATAACCCGACAAAAAATTATAGAGTAAATGAGACTATATGTTAAGTTCCTTCTTATTGATTATCAACATAAACATTCACACCTGTCACCCGGAAGGATAGGTAAAGATTACTCCTGTTACGAACGTTAACCTCTTACGGGAGTTATGGTTTGATTACATACATCGATTTAAGTTTATTTTGTTGTAATTGTTGCAATAATTTAAAGTAAACGAGGACGTTTTAAGTAACTTTCTGGCAACCCTGAGCAGTGACAAGCCACACATTGCCAGAAAAAGTGGCATTGACAGATTTCCCACGTAGAAAATAAGTAGTTCCACATTTGGCTGCGATCTAAACGTTTTTGTCGGGCTTTACAGTCGCCATACTTCTTATAGCCTGATTTTTTTTTAATTTTCGGCAATCTATGTATTTATAATTATACGAGATATAAATATAATTTCATACTGTTTAATAAAAATAACACTTCAAAAGGTTTAACGGCAAATGATTTATTTAATATGATAATTTTCAACCACAAATATTAGATTTCATAGCCGATGATTGTAACTATACTTATTTTTAGTAAATTGAAGCTTAAATTTTAATGTAATAAATAAAAAGAATACACGTATTGATGTTGTTATAGAATTTTTTTGAAAGAAAGTTTAGGAAAGAAACATTACAGTTTACATTTTCCTTAGAAATTAGCGCCTCCGCTATAACATCTGTCAAATATTTTACCTCATTGTAAAGTGGCACCGCACTGGGTTTAATATTTCCAATATGGACCATCGATTTCAAAGCCCATATTTTTTTTTGTAGATAGTACTCACTAAAAGAAAGCGTTTTGCATAGTTTTAGGTTGCGGACACTTATGGTTCATGAGAATTATTTTTTTAAACTTTTCATACAAATTGGCAAATAACACGCAATTACACCAATTACAAAATAAATTTGACAAATGATTGATGTCAAACGTCAATTAGTGTAGGGTTCCGAATATTTTGAAAGTATCGATACGTACTCGATACCAAGTATCGTATCAAAAGTATCAATACTACTTGGTATCGAGTACATTTCGTTAATTTTGGAGACTAGGGGGGTAAGAAGCCGGGAAGTTGTGCTCCGGCGCTCCGTGGCAGCTCCGGCGCTGCGGTATGAGCAGTGCCTCCGCCCTAGCGTAGGGAAGCACAGGCACCTGAGCTCGCCTTCGCAGCTTGGGCTGTTTGGTCGCCTTCGGCGACCAGCCTCAGCCACTACGGCGATCTCGGTGCCTGCGCTTCCCTACGGCGGGCGGGCACTGCTCTCCCTCCTTTTTTTTTGCGCCCGAAGCAATTAAAGGGCTACCCTATACGTAGGGAGGCGGAAAATGCATTACGCATACCACGATAGCCGGTCTATCGTGGTTATGAGGGGCTCACTGTCCTACCCTAAGTGATACCCTCTAAAAACCGCCTTTGGGGACAGGCAGCCGGCTGATAGCTCTATTGTGCCTTATCATGAGCGACCCTCTTTTGGGAAAAGAGGGTGCAGGCGGCTAAGAGCCGCTGAGGGAGTGCCTACGAAGGCAAATTAATGTTAGTTATTACAATAATTTAATTTAATTAGAGTTGGCCTGAGCCGCCAGGAGACAGTTCAGGTCGTTTGACAGTTTATTAGGCGGGTCCGAGAGAGAGTTTCTCGGCCTGCGGACACGATAGCGAGAGGGGGTGGGGCTGCATAAGAAGCTGCCTCACGAATTAATTGGTTTGGGTGCGACTCTGAGGCTTTGAAGAAGTTCTCAGAGAGTTTTTTAAGAAATTGTTGAATTGTTGGGAGCTCTAAGTCCCGATGAAGGTCGGCATTACGGACGTACCAAGGTGCGTTCGCAGCTCGACGACAGAAGAGGTTCTGAACTATTTGGAGTTCATTTATAATATTAGGGTTTGCGTGGGCAAAAACGGGGCCCGCGTAGGACATGAATGGTCGTATACAGACCTTGTAAAGGGTACGCTTGTTTCGAAGGGACATTTTACTGTGTCGGCCCAACATACTGTTGAGCCTACACAGATAAAACCGTGCGTGACGGGTTACTCTTTTGACGTGGGGCCTGAAAGTGAGCCCTGTGTCTAAAGTGACACCTAAATATTTGGCGGACGTATGCCAGGGGACAGGGGTCCCTAGCATACGTATTGGTGGAGTGTTTTTGAGACGGCGTCGTTTATAATCGAAGTGAACGGCGGAGCTCTTCTCCGGGTTCACATCGATGCGCCATTTTTTGAACCAAGCTCCTAGGTCATCAACTGACTTTTGGATCTTGTTTCGTATGAAGGATAGTGAGACACCTTTGCAGTAGATGGCAGTGTCGTCTGCGAAGAGGGAGAGTTGAACACCTTTCGACGGGATGGGAATGTCGTTGGTGAACAGGATGTACAGCAGAGGAGCAAGTACTGAGCCCTGAGGGACACCAGCCTTGATAGTTCGCTGTGAAGATATCGTGCCTTCGTGTCTAAAACGAAAGGTACGATGTTTTAAGTAGGAGGCCACGAGACGAACTAGACGATCGGGGAGACCTATTTTGTAGAGCTTGTAGATGAGGCCTGTGTGCCAGACTCTATCGAAAGCTTTAGCTATATCGAAAAAGACCGCGATGGTCTTATGACGACGAGGATAGAAACCGCTGAGGATATATTCCACAATGCGGTGAACTTGTTGGGGACATGAGTGTTTGGCTCGGAAACCGAATTGATGGGGAATCGTAAGAGGGTCGCCGTCTGTGGGAAACAGATAGCGCCTCATACGCGTTTGGATGACTCTTTCGAAGAGCTTGCCCATTGCCTTGAGGAGGCTAATGGGGCGATGGCTGGAGGGGGAGGTTGAGCTCTCCCTCCGCGCCTCCGGGCTCTTATATACACTCTAGGGGTAGGGCAGACAAGACCACGTGGATAGTGGGGTGCTCTGATTCGGTTTTGGGTACTTTTAGGATATTAAATAAGTAAGTAAATAAGTAAGTAAACACTTTATTGTAGTAAGAATTAGATAATATATAAAGTTGCAAACAATAAAATAAAAGTACAAAAGCTGTACTAATTAAGAAATACAAACAAGTTGCAAGCAATGAAATACAAGTACTAAGGTGGAACTTAAATAGAGTAAACTTTATTCTACTTTATATACATATTATATAATTGCACTTATCAGCTCTTCCTATGCATCTAATTGATTTGTCATAATTTTTCGTCTCCAAAATTAACGAAATGTACTCGATACCAAGTAGTATTGATACTTTTGATACTTTACAAATACTTTCAAAATATTCGGAACCCTACACTAACTGACGTTTGACATCAATCATTTGTCAAATTTATTTTGTAATTGCGTGTTATTTACCAATTTGTATGAAAAGTTTAAAAAATATATCTCATGAACCGCAAGTGTCCGCAACCTAAAACTTTGCAAAACGCTTTCTTTTAGTGAGTACTATCTACAAAAAAAAATATGGGCTTTGAAATCGATGGTCCATATTGGAAATATTAGCCCGCACTGGTGTCAGAAAAAGTTGTGGCTCATTAATGATATATTATTTGATTTTTACCAATTAACTATAGTAAATATATGATCGTAGAAGAAAAATGTTTTTGTCATTCACTTTTTTTTACTTTCAAATTCTTGTGTGCCCAAGGGCCCCGGTATGACCTAAGACGGCGTTAATGATTTGGCAGAAGTGGTAGAAAAAACAAAAAAAAATGATTATGGATGTCTTTGAAAGAGACATTATTTTTGACTGCATTATTGAAAATCAAATAATAAATAATCTAATGACAACTCAACCAGTTGTACTGAAAGTGATTGAATAAATTTATTTTTGATCTAGTTTCAATCTTAAATTTTTATAACTTTGCCTCTAGAAATAAACAGTAACAACAAATACAAAGTAACTGATAAATTTTGTGTTTTAAATTATCCGTCTTTAATTTATTTTGGCATTATTCAAACCAAACTGTAAATGATTACCGACTCTTAATAATATACATCTATTTTTTTAAGAATCGAATATTGTACATTCCCGTTTTTTGGTTGGCATGCTTGGGGCAATAAGTCTGACAGCTGTCAAAATGTATTTCTTAGATTTGGTTGACTTTAGTCAGACAATTTGTCCTACGTAAACATATTCCTCAACAATTTCACTATAGTGCTGCCAACAACTACACTATAGTGCTGCCAACAACTTCACTATAGTGCTGCCGACAACTACAGGCCTATGTGTGACGTGGACCTTACACATAACCTTTGTTTGTCTATGTAGACTTTAAGATATATCCATTAGGAGACAGACACTATTGTGGTCATTGCGCAGCAATTTAAGCAGCAGGTTAGGCATCTGGTACTACGATTTTTTTATAGGATAGGGTGACAGAGGTGCACACAGTCCACCTGATGGTAAGTGGTTGCTGTGACCCATAGACATCTACGTGACGATGCGTTGTCACCCGTGAGGACTATGATGAAATGCCTCATTTCCAGTAAAAAGGGTCTCCGGTTCTCTACACTCACCATACGAAACACAGCAGCGTTAAGCTATAATTTGACGCTGGTATTCTGTGAAATGGGTAGACTCGACCAGGGAGGACCCTCCCCGGTCGAGCCTACCCATTCGTGCTACAACTATACTACTAAAATAACTGCAAAATGGCTCTACCACGTGAAATGATGAACAATACATCTTGCCAACCCGCTTGCCAAGCTAGTACCACACTACCAGTTGCCACAACCGTGACAAATATCCTTCCTATGAGTAGGCTTACACCAGTAGGCTTTTTATAGGCTGTAATGAAGTGCTTAAAAAGGATGGTATAATGTTTCTAAAACATAATAGATGTTCCTTTTGTGTATGTATATCCTAGGATAACTAATAAGGAATCAGGTCAGAAAACCATCGGAAGTTTAAGAGATTACCCATTATTTTTCTTCAGGTTATCCTTTGTCCCTTATCGGGTATGCTCACTATTGGCGGCGCGGCTGGACACATTGTGATTGCCAGCTTGAAGACTTCTCCGAGCACTGCAGAGGTTAAAGTAAGTAATTTTCATTTATACTTCGCCATTTTATTTTATTTGAGTAGTTAGTGTTTTTTTTTTCTTTCCTTTTTAGACTTTTTTTAAATTGTACATAAATTTTAATGCAATGTTGGAAAAACTGCAATGAGAAGGAGACATGTTACTATTGCTATGACTTTAATTAGGCTACTACTTATTCTACCTTAACACTAATATAAATATTGTCATGGGGGCAACACTACATAAAAGTGAGGCTTTATCTTTTACACATACTTTCTCTTACTTTATTTTATGGTACCCGGATGACCGAGCTTTGCTCGGTTTTTTTTAAGTTACATTTATATACAAATTACATGAATAATAGTTTTTGATCTTATTGACATAATAGAAAAAACTGAACTGGTTATTTGAATAAAAAATCATGAGTGCAATTAGCTTAATTAAAATTTTCGTATATTTAAAAAAATACTAAAAAAAGGGCTCGAAATAATAGATTTTCTCACAAAAGAAGGGAACTTGAAAAAAAAAAAAGGAAAAAAGTCGGACTCAAGACGGGACGCGAACCACGGAACACCGATATCACGCCCGAACAACATCCCATCTGAGCTATTACGATCGTTAGTAGTCTGTCAAAATTTACCTTCTTATATTGTAGCAGTTTTTTATTGCCTGAAAACACGGACAAAGCGACATTTACTAAAAATAAATCCTAGATCGATTTATTGCCCCCGAAACTCTCTGGACACTAAATTTTATGAAAATCGTTGGAGCCGTTTCCGAGATTCCGATTATATATATATTTATATATATATATATATATATATATATATATATATATATATATTAAATGTATAGGACTCAGAGTAATTACTGGCATAGGGAGAGTCCTAAAATATAAACAAAATTCTTATAGCTGAGCTCTTTCAAAATAAGATAGCTATATTATATTCTCAACTTCTTTCTTTTACAAGGTTGTTGCCGTTTTTCCAATCCATAGGCACCTCTATTGATGTGCCATTAGCGAAGCGAAAAACGTCGATAAATTCTTTTAGTATATAACTTCGTTTCAATTAATGATTTTTATTATTGCGGTTCGTAATATTTATTTATATCCAGTTCCGTTCTAATTACCAATTTAAACATGTGCAAAAATAAAGTAAAATAAAACATTAGTTTTTTTTTAAATCGTTTGTTTCAATTAAGTACACTTTTCCTACTAAACTTTTACTTTTCTATCGACAAACTCTAATTAAGGCATCGAAGCCGCCGTCTTCTGCAATGTTTGCCAAGTTTATCAACTACTTTCCCCATATATATATATATATATATATATATATATATATATATATATATATATATATATATATATATATATATATAATTATAATAGAGGTAACAACATCGTCTTTATCAGGAAAAAGGATTTCAGACTTATGAGTTCACACAACGAATGAACTATACACCCGATTTCGATGCCATTGTTAATTTTAGTTGGAGATCATCACAGAGTTTTAGAAAGTCTGGTTTTTCAGGGATCCTTATTATATGTAATAAGAAAGTAAATTGTTTTCAATACTCATTTAACTGTTCAAATCTGTCACTAAGTATATTTAAAGTTGTGTCCAAAAGGCAGTTGAAAAATTCGACTTCCAATTTCTTTTGCGGATCTGTTATAGGCTCATCACTGGCAGCTAAATCTTCACTTGCTCGGCGTTTAATACGTCTTTTTATCTTCGTTTTCTTAAAAAAAAAACTTATTGTGGTTATAAATACTGGTTCAGTTTCAAGTTCTTCCGCCCACTCCCTTGCTAGTAAAATGACGCTTTCAAAACTAGTTTTTCTGATTCTCTGCGCATCTCTGTACATTTAGCGGGACCCATATTATTTTTGTGATTGCAGGAATTTACTAATTACATTTATCTGGAACAGTACATCATACCAAATAAACAGTCAAATTATGAAGCTGAAATCTTTTAGCTGTTGGGCTAGACTAGTGGCCTCGTAAGAGATTGGAACGTCGGTTTTCTCGGTTTCAATAACCAAAGAAATTAAAGCATCATAAAAGTTACTAATTAGATAACGGACTCCTGTAACACTACTTATTATTTTTTCCCCAACGTGTTTTACTGAACTTTTTTTTACTGAATACTAGCAATCCGCCGCTGCTTCGCAAGCACGATTTCTGGATCTCGACAACAGCGCTATCTACCAGGCTCAATTGTAAATCTAAAAAAACCTTCCGGAGACCCATTCAAACACACGCAAAAGATTCCATCAGAATCAGTCGAGCCAGTTTCAAGTTTTAACGAGACTTAATAGACAGCAATTTATTTTGTATTATATATTGAGTACAAACATATAATACATACATAATAGAACGGGGGAGTGGGCGGAGCCCGCGTAGCCACTAAAATGTCACTAACACGTCATTTCACACGTATAAACCTCAACACGAGATGTGTTTTGACGTTACAATCGTTTCCAAATTTCGCATGCAAATTATTTAAAAAATGCCAAATTGCACCATATTTACAAATAAATATGTATTAAAATATAATGATGATATTGAACATTAATCAAAAGTCTAAAATGTCTAAATTTACTCAGTGTGTCAACACAGCGAATCGGGTTTGGCGACGCCAAACCTCGTACAAAATAAAGTTGACAGCCATTATATTGTGTATATAGTATTCTATGGAATATAAACCTAAGTGATAATTTAGAATTTTCTCTCGATAAACTGAAGCCGAAAGCAATGTGAACTACCTCTGAAGTACCTTAAATTAAGTGACAGATTTTATTGATGACAGCAGCATTGCATGGTATTAGATTGTAGCTATGGCAGCCACGCGGTATATAAATAGCTAAGGGGTTTTAGTCCGGAAATTTTTTTAGGACTCCAACATTTTTTCTTTTTTATTTGCTCCTTTGTTAATTTAAGTTAATCTTTGTTTAAAACATTAATAATAATTCAGATTCATATAATCAGATAGACATGCACTACTGGTGTCACCGATTTTAAAATTCTATGATATGCTCCTTTACACTTATTTCATTTTAATTTGATGATAAATCAACAAATCTGACAGAAATGAAAGTTGTTCTACGTGAGTATTCGGGTGCAATCAGCTATAATTACATAGTATGTATTTGAATAATGTAGCTCGCGATATACTTGTAATTTCGGACTCGTAATTTTTCTTCTTCACTTACTTTTTCGCCTTTGGCGCCCCTTCATGTTAGCGCCCTTGGGGACCGCCCAGTCGCGTGCTGCCCTAACGCTGCTACTGTTTATATCAATGAATGTGTATGGAAGCTTCATCTGGCATCATACAACAACATTGTAGTCCAATAATGCTAAAATTCGTACTATTGTTATATAATTAAAAATATATCGTAAAATAGTCAATAAGAAATCCACTTAAATTCAACCGGTATATTTCTGCTAAATTATCCTTAGATTTATTATGGGTTTACTTTTAATAACTGTGTTTTTTAATCAACACTAGGTTTGCTTTACTGTACGTTCAAAGAGGGCACTGCTACGATAGTAGGATAACAGCGACATGACCGCAGTCTGCCTTCTCTTTTGTCGCTAGATCACAACTACCTAACCAATAAATCGATTACGAACGTATCACCTGTTTTCCTGTCTGCTCCCTCAAGATATTATCTATCACTCATTCATTCAGAGCCAATCAAAAGTCCACCGCCTAACGTAAGGGGAATATTTGCCATATTTTCTTCTCTTAGCAAGGTTGGTTGGCAACCGCATTTTTTTAATGTTTTGAGTTGTTATCAGTAACATACTGTTGCCTATCCTGTTTCATTTCTGTCTGTGGTCTTTTACTATAGTCGAGGGATAGTATGGGTTCTTACGAGCTTCTTAACGTAATAATCTTTATTATTTGATGGGAGTTGGTGGTTTCGTTTACGTCGCCGCTACACGACATTATCAAGATACTGCCTTAACTTCATGATTTTGAAATGTTTTTATCCAAGCAGATAAAGCTTTGTTGAATATAGTCGATGATTTTCCGCTAAGCAAGTGTATAACTATAATCCATATAAATTAAAATCAATTGTCGCATCTATGAAAGATCATCACTTGAGAACGGCAGGACCGATTTTGATGAACACTCACACTTGAATAAAACTATTATTTACGGATTTTATCGCCTTTAATTACAACTTTAATTTATTTCCTTAAATTAATTAAAGTTGTAATTAAATGCGATAAAATGCCTAAATAATAGTTTTATTCAATGTGTAGTGTTCGCGTAAATTTAAGAAATCTTAACACTCACACACTTACAATTGGAGCGGGTAAGTAGCACTGTTGGCGAGACCTAGAAAACAGTCGTACAAAGCCGGGGCGGATTGTTAGTCAGCATATAAAATTGTGAATGCAAATGGGACCCAACTCGCTCATACATCGTGTGTCTGTCAAGACTTAGTATTCATACCTCCCTAACTATTAGTTTTTAAAGTTTGCGAAACGAAAATTTGCAATGTAATATAATAATAATCATCACGATCATGATTTAGAAATCGATTTACTTGATCGTTCGAGTAATAATAAAATTTGAGTCCTATTTTCTTTATATTTTAGACATATAATAAAGTAATAAATATAAATAACTAAACAAAAATGAGTATACCGACGTCGATTGTTGCTAACATTGCGAACGAAATCACTGTAGATTAAAGACGTCATGTTTTGTAAAGTAACGTCACATATAATACTACTAAAATACGGATATCATTTTTCTAGTAGACCATAAACTACAAGTGTACATACTCTCATATTTGGCATGGTATAAAGAGACCAAAGATGACCACTTGACATTTCTCCACGTATGAATTACACGCAACATCTTTAAATAGATTTGTGTCTTTGAAAATTAAATTAAAAAAGCGAGACAAGTATATTGACTCAATTTGTGTAGAATTGTAGGTTCTCTCTATGCATACGTATGTATAATATGTAATTACTCAAAGATTTTATAATTGATCATTGACTTCCAAAAATAACATAATGGTTCTATCAAATTTCGTTTCTGTTTTAATTTTTCCATTTAATGAAAAAACAGGGTATAAGCGGAAGCATCTTCCTGATAACAAGTCAAAATAATAAAAAAATTGCGGTTGCCAACCCACTTGCCAAGCGTGGCAACTATGGCAAAATCCCCCATTGCGCAGGCTATCTATGAGGGAGACCTATGTACAGCAATGGACTTTCATAGGTTGTAATGGATGGATGGATAGATTTATTATTAAACAATCTTCTTATTCATGATGCTTACTTTGTTAAATCTTATCATCTGCACGCTTGCATGAACACACATATAAGTTTAAATTTTGTCAAAACAAAAACACATAGCCCTATAAAGACACATACAATTTAAGCTAATATTTTTTAACATTTGTTCGCAGTCAATGTCGGTGAACATAGTTTCTGATCGCGATGGGTTCGTCTGGAAGGGACACGACCAACTGACGCTTCGCGCCGGCACTCACAATTTCCCCCAAGGATATCAGGTAATTTATTTTATCACGAATGTAATCAATTCATCTTTATGGACTAAAGCCAATGTGACGTAAATTACAAGAATGACTGGTTTAAGAGTCGGTAATATTTTCCATTTTATTTGATTATATTTTGAACTTAATCAGCTGTAAATTTAGTGGAGTTATAAGAGAAACTATAAGCCACTTCTCACCGAGTGGTTGTCCAGATGTTTCCGGGCAAAATCTAAAAAGAAATACATATAATTTTACAAGAAACCGTGCTTATTAATGTAACAATTATATAAAATTGTAGCTCCTAGTTTAAAGGTCTCAATTGATTTAAAAATATTACTTGTTTATAGACTGGACTTTGGAAGCCACCAAACCCTAATTTCATTGATTGGTGATGGGGAGCAGCATAACCAGTACAAACTTATTGGTTTTGCACTTACCAACTTGCCTACTTATTGTTGTAGACTGTCTTGCGAGTATTATTTGTTAAGGTGGGTTTACGCTAGAGAAGCCGAGCACGGGCGGAGCATGAGCCGAGCACAAATTCGTGTAGTGTGGACTGACTTACAAGCCTCGAACGAGCGCGCTTCGAGCGTTTGGTTCGTGCTCGACTGTGTTCCGCCTATTGTCGGTTTTTTGACGAACTCACGACGACGATGAAATCGGCTCAGCATGTACTCAGCTCGTACTCGGCTCTTCTAGCGTAGACCCAACTTTTGCTTTACTTTGTCGTTCATGATGCGTACAGAGCAATGGAGTGAAATAATTTGACAGCGTCTATCTTCCCATCCGATTACAATGTCATGCATCTTCAAGGCAAGATTGAATAGGTTTTAGTTAAGCTAACCCGGTGCGCTTTATCATCGGTAGCATCATCACTCTTATTTATAGAAACATCATTGATACAGAAACAGAAACTTTTTTATTCAATATAGATTGTAAACACTACTTATTAAAAGTCACTTTTTTTTATTTACCACTGGTTCGCAAAAACACCTCTGTCCTGAAAAGAACCAGCAAGAAACCCAGTGGGACTATTTTTTTTTTCAAATAGCTTACAATCATGTACGTTACAATTAACCACACAAAACAAATTAGAAGTAGCTTGGTAGCGATCACCCTTCCGAGGGGTTATTATCATCTATAAATTCCTTAATATTATAGAAAGATATAATACATATTTATAGAGAAAGACCTGTAATTAAAACTGTTGTTGAGATGTCTAATATTTTACTATGAACAATCGGAGACAGACAACGTAAATTCTGTAAATTTTTTTACTGTGGCAATCGGCAGATGTTTTACATAATGCTAGACTCGTAGACAGAGAAACCTATAGACTAATGATTAGCGTGGCCTCGAGTGAGAAAGGACGATAACGTAGTTTTAGGTTGTAACTTTCTCTTATCTTTATGACTTAAACTTATTTAGATAAAAAAATTAATTGTTCTAAGAACTGAACTGAACAAGATTCACCAATCTTAATCTCACAAAACACTTTTTTCTCACTTAAACCAACTTGTAAACTCCTAAGATCGCTAAAAACTGTCAAAGTGTAGTTTGCTAAAAAAAACCGGCACGGAGAAAGGGATAAACATTCTCACCTCTCTGTCTCATTTCTATACAAGACGTGTTCGTAAATCTATCTTTTTCGTGTGCGAATGCGAAGGAAGGCGTCAATTTGTCTATAGGTTTCTCTGTCTACGGCTAGACTAGTTGTCATTTTGGCTGTCGCATGTCAAAACTCATTTAGTGACTTAATAAATGTTTTTATACAAATTTTGCTTACATACATTAATAATTATCTATCGATAAAGGAAACATTTATTAAATCCTTCAAAATCTCCAAAAATTTTAATATTTTTAATCCTGGGGTTCTTTGATGTACGTTTCGTTGTTTTCCTGTAAAACTAAGTTTCTCATATTATCTTATATTTTGTATAATGACATTAAATGTTGATTCAATTACTTGTGTAACCTTGTAGTTTTATTTGGGTAACACTTTTTATTTAAAATCTTAGTCTTGGTACACAACCATTGGACATTTGAGCTTAGGACACATTGTACGTATAGATTTTGCAATTCACAAAGTTAATGTATAGTACAATTACATGTTTATATTTAAAATGCAAATTTATTTTAAAATGCAAATTTATTTTAAAATGCAACTCTTCACTTTGGTGACATTGTGTAACGAATAACTTCTACTTAGTTCCAAGTAGCGACATCTAGTGAGCGGAAAATGATTAGGTCTCGTACTCGGTTTTGAAAGTGGGGCTGGGGGTTTGATGAATGTGGCGTGGTTGCAGGCGACGGCGGTGGCGCAGCTGTCGCCGCCGGCCGCGGTGACGGCGCTGGGCGCGCAGTGGGAGTGGGGCGTAGTGTGCGCCGGCACCGCGCACGGCCTGGCGCTGCTGGACGCGCTGGCCGCCGCGCCGCTGCTGCACCGCTGCACGCTCAACCCGCACGGTATACCGCACATAATCTCACCACGCCTCACTTCACTTTACCACACTTCCCTTCACTTTGCCACACTTCGCTTCACTTTACCTTACTTCACTTCATTTTAGTACATTTCGCTTAATTTTACCACACTTTACCTCACATCACTTCACTTTACCTCACTTCACTTCAATTCACATCACATCACTTCATCTCACCATACTTAACTTCACCTCACTTCAATCTCAAACCGCACGGTGAGTCAGGAAGTATCTCTCGCCTTTGCCCCACCACACTTCACTACGACTTACCTGCACCATTGCACGCTCAACCTATCCGGTGACGCTGGCGCACCCCCGCCTCCTAACTCACCTCACCATTACGCCTCACCTACTGCACAGCTCCACACTTAGCACCTACTACGATGCACTGCGTGGCCCCGCCACCTCTACCTCATCTTGTAAATACCTCACCGTACCTCATTTGCGGTACAGCTGCACACTTAACTGATGAGCCGTCGCTCCTTTTCATCATGCCATATGGTTTCACGGATACGGATTGCCTACAGCGCTCTGAAAACTTGTTCGCATTATGCGATGCTGAACGTGATCAACAGAGCTAAATTGATGAAACTTGTACGATCGAGTTTTCGAGCACAAAACCAAAATTCATATCCCACCTTTGACATTTCCCGTATTATTGTTTTTTATGGGCTAATAGGGCACTATTAGCCCATAAAATTCCGTGGCTGTTGATAGCCATCGCAACTTTGCCGTTGATCCCTATCGAACTATACACTGAAATAATATGATACGACATTCATCATTACAGCACATCACAAGTCCACTGACTAACAAAAGCTTATTCCAAGCAATGCCACAAAGCACGGTCCTGAGCCACCTACATCCATATCAATAAGTTTATAAACATTTCCTTATCTTTTTAATATTTTATATCATGCGACGATGTGAAAGCTGTCCTCAGCTTTTTTTTTCAATACTAATAAAAAATGTTGTTTAGATCATTCTGGTGCCGGAGATACTCCAATATCTAGACGAAAATCATTTAAAAAGTCACTGCGAGAATCGTTTCGACGGCTAAGGAAAGGCAGATCACAACGACGTCAAAACACCTCTGCGAGTCCTACATCACAGTCGCAAGTTAGTATCGCCATTAATTACTACTTTACTATCAATTATTTGAGGAAATAACTTTAACTTGATCTGTACATTTTTTCCTCCGCCACTTGAAGTCTGGACTCGACAGTGAGCTGAGCAGTCAGTCTGACTCTTCGGTACAAGTACACTCAACAATAGACGACATAGTATGTTACAATCCTAGTTGTAAAGAGTCCGGCCCATAGTAACAATAAAATGAGTACATTTATACAGCTTTGCCACAAATTCTTCGTTCTTCGAACTTTTCGTTTTGTTTTAGAGCAGAAGTTTGAATGCACATTTGTGCCTTTTTTGCACCTTCGAATTATCCAGGAGCGTATGTCATTGCAGGATTTCATCGCTCATTAGCCGAGCATCTCTAGAATGAATTGCTTTGCTCGCATAAAACATTTGAAGCTTACATGCTATCCCTGTGGTATATTTGAATTATATATAACGCGCTTCGCAATATTTCTCCTATAATCTATATTCGACAGGTTCTCCACAAAATTCCACGATATATATATATATATATATATATATATATATTTTTAGTCATGCTTTAGAAGCATTGTCTGCTATTTTGCTATCTATACATGCGGGTTCGAATAACTTAACTTGCAAATATTGATAAAAAACATTTCAAGCGGTTCTTGGATTATCGTCAGTTCGTTCCGTGTTACTTATATTTACAATTAATTGAACAAAACAGTCATTTATAGGAAAAATTTCATCAGTAATTATCATTCTACTATACTTATTATTTTCCCTACAAGTACAGATAGCAAAAAAATATATTCACATTCTCAACACATTTTATTTTCAAATTTCGCAAATAATTATTTGCAAATTTCGTTCATTTTCCATTTCGTCGTGCAGCCAGCGGCGAAGAAGCCAGGCGATAAAATTGTTGAGACAGACGCTGAGATCAAACCTGTGGAGCGTGCCGTTGAGGCCCGATCTAATGACGACGCATTCGGTTCTATGGTGCGCTGCTTATATTTTGCGAGGACATTCCTTATTAGCAGTAAGTTTCAATATATAATAATATTCCAAACCACTATTTTTTTATATTTGTAGTCTCAGTAGAATGTCATTTTTTTAATAAGTATAATAATTGCAGTAAATAGCATGAACAGTATAGACGCAATAATTTAGTAGAATGCTTAAAACGGAATAAAATAATCTTGTAAGAATAAGCATCGTTTTTATTAAAGCACAAAACTCAACGCCGACACTGTGGGCGGGCACAAATAATGGTACGGTCTACGCGTTCACGATAAACGTGCCAAATACTAACAAACGGAAAGAAGAACCCGTGAGTATTATTTTATTTATGAACATAATGATGAACATAAGAAATAGTATATTACGCTACTAGGGAGGGAAGTATGACATTGCAACCCGCGTGGAATTGTCGTTGATAAGAACGCGGATTGCGATTTTTTTTTCATACTTTTCTCCCGTAGTACGTATACTATTTTTTATCAGACCTTCCTCGGTCGAGCTGACATATTCGTGCTACAACCATTATATAGTTGTAGTATGGGTGTACCACGTAAAATTAAAATGTTTGCTGATATATTAAAGAATTTCTTCAGTGACTACTTTTAAGAGGTTTTGTTGATGAGGATCGAAAGTTCGATTTAAATTAAAGTAATATAATTTATTCTCAAAGTATCATGACATACTTTTGACATTTAGTAACTTTAGATCTAGAAATTTGATGCATGCACACTAAAATAAGCCGTTAAATCTAGAGACAATGTGGCACTTTCGTTCGTTAACATAGGGTCGAAATACGAACTTTCGATCAAGGTATGAATAAAAATATAATTTATACTTGCGATTGTTGTCACTTGGTGTAACTCTAGCTTCATTTTTGTGATTTGGATAAACACTTGTAATATTTATTTTAAATTATTAATATAAATAATAACTATAAAAACGACCAGTTCCGCATCACGGCATTATCAGAGTATATAAGAATAACGAACATAAACAAATTCAAATATATAAATTTGTCGTAGGTAACATGTCAACTAGCGAAAGAGATACAGCTGAAACACCGAGCACCAGTCATCGGTATCACAGTCTTAGACGGAGCTTCAGTACCGCTGCCAGATCCTTTAGAGGTATGTTATACTATACAATGAGTGTAGATTTGAATATTATGGTTGCGTTTCTTTGTATGGTAGTATATTACAGTCTGCCTTCTATCTTATCTCACAAAGCTGTCATCGGATACTGGCCCCCATATTAACAAACACGTAATAATTTTAGTACTAGCAATACCATCGAACTTGCGTCAATTATGTTTAGAAGAAGGTTGAGCATCATCGCCAGCCGTAAATATCTTCAACGCCAGAGGAATCGCAAGTGTGCTACTGACATTTTAATAATAAAGAGATTTTCTTGAAGGTCACTTAATGATTAAATTTTTCAAAAGTGAAATGATTTCTCTCGTATTCTCTTTCATCGGTCAACGCAAATGAACATGAAATGAAATTACAGCGGAGCTTCTGAAAGCGGGTGGAACACCGGTGCTTAAAGTCCTTCAGAAGCTCTTTAATTCCAACCTCCATTGTGGTACTACTCCAGAGGCGTGGAGCAAAAGTGCGGTGGTCTTGTTCTTTAAGAAAGGTGACAACGTTCTCTGGATGAACTACAGACAGATTTGCCTTCTGAGCCGCGTCTACGTGCTGTTTTCGAGAGTCATTACGAATCGTCTCGCACGCAGACTCGACTTCCACTCGACTGGAGCAAAAGTGCGGTGGTCTTGTTCTTTAAGAAAGGTGACAACGTTCTCTGGATGAACTACAGACAGATTTGCCTTCTGAGCCGCGTCTACGTGGTGTTTTCGAAAGTCATTAACAGTCGTACTACAAAAAAGCATTTAAACACTGGTCCAACATGTGTTTAGTTAAAAACGGACTTAAATGATAAACACATGTTAAACAATGGTTTAAATTTCGCTACCACAAAACCGTGTTTAACGCGTGCCTCTATAGACAACGTTCAACTTTATTCTCCAGGTCACACTGCAATACATTCGTTCAGTATTCGATCATTCGTTTTATTTTACGCAAATTAATACGACTAACTACATAAAAATTAAATTTTGTTTTGTCTCAAAGTTCAATAATAAAAAAAGGTATATATATGTTTATCTATATTCTTTGTAAAAAAAATTCATTAAATATATTATTTATTAACAAAAACATATCAGTTATGCTTGGCAGTTAGATGAAGATAAATGTGAAATTATGTCAAACGCAACCATCTTTGTATAGATGTCAATGCTCAATGTCAGTTGTCAAACAAGCGTCCGCGACCGTTGCCTGCATCGTGTTTGTAAATTGTTTCGCTGTATTTAATTTGTGTTCACTTTTATCGTATTAAATAATGGAGTCGAAAGGAAATATTGCGCCTGAGAATCAAAAGAATCGTGCTCGAGGCGAAAATTGGACTCAAGAGGAAAAGGTTAGTTACGCTTATGTACTATTCGTTTTAGGAAGTTGGTCTAGTTTTTTAAGCCGCATGATCTAATTATTAAGAATATATAATAATAACACTGCTTGTTTTGTTTGTTACATTTTTAATTACCTAAATATTTACTACTTTCAGGATCTGTTTTTGGAAATAATGAGGGAGTCAGCGCCTATTATAGAGAGTAAATTTACCGACACTAATACAAATAAAAGAAAGAATCTGGAGTGGATTAGACTACAAAAGAGGTAATTGTGTGGTCAGACTGATTTGTTTAGTTAGTATAGATGTTGATCAAATAGATGATAAGTCTATATTTTTCTGTTACACCAAAATATATTTTTAAGAAGGTTAAATTAATAATAAAATTGGTATTCTTTTTTATTGCAGTCTTAAGGAACTCACTGGGAAATCCAGAAGATCACCCAGTTAAAGGGTTTCTGGAGACGAACAAAAGTGGCTGCAAAGAAATCTGCGGCACAACATAGAAGAGCTTTGCAAGCTACTGGTGGTGGACAAAGGCCAACATCGCCAGGTGATGATCACCTAAAGATAGTGGAACTCTGCCCAACAGATTTTGTTATAGAAGAAAATCTTTATGACAGCGATGCGGTCCCACAACACGTAAGTTTTTGAATTGTATGTACCAAATATAATGATGCAACTTTGCTTTATTAACTTTTATTAATTTACAGGTTGAAGTTATAGTTCTTGGAGGAACTGAAGAGCAAAACAACACATTGTATGATATAGACGAGGTGTGTATGAATATTATTAGTTTTAGATTAAATATGTTATTACTCATTTTTTAAATAAATAAATAAATCTTTTCTTTCCAAAGGATGAAATTCTACCAGCAGAGGAACCAGCTGAACAGCAAATGATTACAGTGGCAAATGTGCATAGCGAAGAGGTGAGTTTACCTGAAAAAAAAATGTGGTGCTTCATACTGTTATTTTTTATAGGATAGGGTGACAAACGAGCACACAGTGCAACCGATGGTAAGCGGTTAATGTGGCCCATAGCCATCTACATCTACCCTTGTATGCGATTCATAGAATGCAGATGAGTTGTTATCCGTGAAGACTAAGATGGAACGCCTATTTTCTAGCAAAAAGGTTCTCAGGTTCTCTACACTCACCATACGAAACACAGCAGCATTAAGCTACTATTTCACGCTGGTATTCTGTGAGAGTGTGCTCCTTCCCCGGTCGAGCCGACCCATTCGTGCTACGACTATACTATTAATATAACTGCAGCATCGCTCTACCGTGTAGAACAAATATAGTTATAATTTATTTATAATTATAAATAAAACTTAATGAAAATCATTATTCACTCAGATTGATATCAAGATGCCTGAATACAGCAGAAAAACACAAATGATGTTTCCTCCAAAGGTGGACAAGAAACAAATTAGAGAAAAGAAAACAAATAAGTTGTAAGTAGATTATTTGTATATAATTTTTATGATCTACTTTACTATATTTTCATGTTTTGTAAGTATCATTTAATAAATGATTCACACTGCCCTGTTGTATCTATGAACAACCATTATTAGGAGAATTATGAGAAAAAAGACATTATTGTATGTATGTATGTATGTATGATGACCTCTCATATTTTGATTTCAATAATAAAAATAAATAAATATATAAATCATTTCTCTTCTCATAAATACAATACAATAAGTACATTACACAAAGAACATTAAAATGGTACTATCTACTTAGTAAATAGGTGCCTAACATCTCGTTGAGCCTAACGGTTTTTAATTAAATAAGTAAATCGTGTCTGTTACAGGGCTGGCAAGGAAGCTTTATTAAGAAGCAATATAGAATTTAAGGAACGGGCTTCAGCAATGTTGGAAGAAGAACATAAATTAAAAATAAAATTTCAAGAACAAGAAATAGCTCATCAGCAGTTGCGGCATAAACTGGAAATTGAAATATTAATATTAGAAAGAGACAAAAAGAAATTGGAATTAGAATTGTTAAAAAAAAAAAACTAGAATATAAGGACTAATTTTACATTTTTTTAAAAATTTTTTATTATACATTTTCATACATTATTTTTTTATTATTTCTTATATTAAAAATTTTGGTTAATAAAACGCTGTCTAATAATTGCTCCCCTAACTGTAGATCTCTCAGTCTGTGGCCTGCGCCGCTGACGAACATACCGAACTATATCAATGTCTTCATTCATATCAATCGCTATGTTATGTAGCACTGCTAATGCTACAATTGTGGTTTTCGCTGTGCTTAGTTTCATAAACATGCCTCTTAATAGGCATCTGAATCTTTGTTTCCACAAGCCAAAACATCTCTCCACTGTATTCCTTGTTCTAATGTGAGCTCTGTTGTAAGCTTCCTCTTTGTCATTACTAGGATTAAGCAAAGGTGTAAAGAGATATGCAGTACATGCATATCCACTGTCTCCAAGTAATCTTCCATGAAAATCGCCACGTTCAAAGCGTTCTTTTATTGTGCTTTCGTTGAAAACCCGAGAGTCGTGAGCACTTCCTCTCCAACGTGCAACTATGTCTCGGATTTTCAAGTTTGAATCACAGACAACTTGCACGTTGATAGAATAGTAACCCTTTCTGTTCACATAGGCTTCACTCATATCGCTACCTACCCTTTTGACTCGTATATGCGTGCAGTCTATAGCCCCTATCACCGAGGGGAAATTACATATACTTCTAAATCCTCTGATGGTTTCCTGTTGATCTTCTAGTGTAGTGGGCATATTGATGAATAAATGAGCTTTTTTAGCTAATGCTTTCCCAACATTATAAGCGATTTTGCTCACTGATTGCTGAGAAATCCCATGCATATCTCCACTGTCATCTTGTATCTGAAATAAAATTGCAAATAATAGGTAAACATACAGGTGATGGGTGAAGCTATTCTTCTCTACCGACGCCACACGTAAGCATAGTTTAATTTTGTATGAATCGAACTTACTTGATGACGAGCCCAGTACCGTAATGCACAAGCCACTTGCACTGCTGGGTCTATATTGTGTTACCACGAGAATCACTCGGTATATCGTCTTTCACAAGATCTAATATTTTTCTAGCAAAAAGTTTGCTGAACCTATATTTCTTCTTAAACTTGGTGTCGTCATATTTTTCAAACGGATTAACCCTCACACGAACCGTATTACTTTCTCGGAACATTTCCGCATAGTTATCCATGTCGTCTTCATCGAAGTAATCGACAAAATCAATTATATCCATGTTAAATAAAAATACTGAACTGACGGAAAAGATAGGTTAGATACTAGTTAAACAAGGGTTTGCGGCTATTTAAATTTAAACAACGTCTAAGCCTTGCCTATCCATAAACCACCGTTAAACACTCTTTTGTAGTAACTCATTTTATAAACACGTGTTGAACAGAGGTCTAACTTTTTTGTAGTAAGACAGTAAGAATCGTCTCGCTCGCAGACTCGACGACTTCCAGCCTCACGAACAAGCCGGTTTCCGAAAAGGCTTTAGTACCATAGACCACATACATACCCTGCGGCAGATTGTACAGAATACCGAAGAGTACAATCTGCCACTTTGCCTGGCGTATGTGGACTATGAGAAAGCCTCTTCAGCGGTGCCAAGTCGACTGTCGGTGTATTGAAGTACTGAAGTATTTGTACAGTAGGGCTATGATGGCTATACGAGTACGAAACCGATCCAACTGCAGAGAGGTGTAAGAAAGGGTGACATTATATCCTCGTAACTCTTCACCGGATTTAAAGACCTTTTCAACGTATTAACATCAATAGCAAGTACATCACTCACCTTCGATTTGCCGATGATATAGACCTTATGGCAGAATCGCTGGAAGACTTAAGCACTATGCTCACTGACCTCATTAGTGTCTCCCAAACGGATAGGTCTTAAGATGAACATGGACAAAACAAAGATCATGTTTAATGTCCATGTCACACCTATGCTGGTAGTTGTTGGGAGCACTAAGCTCGAAGTTTTTTACGAGAACGTTTGCCTGCGACAAATAGTCCGACTAGGTAAGTCCAACTTCGACAGAGAGGTCAATCGACGGATTCAACTCTGCTGGGCAGCCTTCGGAAAATTACGACACATCTCGTTAGGTATACCTCAAAATCTGAAAACTAGATTGTACGACCAGTGTGTGTTGCCAGTGATGACTTATGGATCTGAGACGTGGTCCTTCACTGCTGGCCGTATGAGGACGCTCAAGGTCGGTCAGCGAACTATGAATGCTGAGGGTTTCTCTGCGTGATAAACTTAAAAATGTGATTATCCGCAGTGGAATCAGAGTGACCGACATAGCCCAACGGATTAGTAAGTTGAAGTGACAATGGGCCGGCCATATAGCTCGAAGAACCGACAATCGATGGTGGAAAAAAGTTCTCGAGTGGGCAGCCTCGTACCGATAGGCGTAGAGTATAGGGCGACCTCCCGCTAGATGGAGTGACGACCTGGTAAGACATGCAGGAAGTCGATGGATGCAGGTGGCTCAGACCGTGCTTTGTGACATTCCATGGGGGAGGCCTATGTTCAGCAGTAGACTTGTGAAGGGCTGTAATGATGATGAATGATGATGTATTTGTAAAACATTTTATATATAAATTTTAGTGTTCCGTGCGCGCAACATGCTTAAAAAGTCGTACAAAGTCTTCCCTTCACGTATTAATATAAAGATTTGTTATTAAAAGAACATGATATGGTGGTTGTGTGCAGGTGGAGCGAGGCGCGGCGCCGTTGCCGGAAGGCGGCGCGCACCGCGTGCTCATCACGTCGGAGGAGCAGTTCAAGGTGTTCTCGCTGCCCGCGCTCAAGCCGCACAATAAGTACAAGCTCACCGCGCACGAGGGCGCACGCGTGAGTCGCACCTCTATCTACCTCTAGTATACCGCTGCTCATCACGTCGGAGGAGCAGTTCAAGGTGTTCTCGCTGCCCGCGCTCAAGCCGCACAACAAGTACAAGCTCACCGCGCACGAGGGCGCACGCGTGAGTCGCACCTCTATCTACCTCTAGTATACCGCTGCTCATCACGTCGGAGGAGCAGTTCAAGGTGTTCTCGCTGCCCGCGCTCAAGCCGCACAACAAGTACAAGCTCACCGCGCACGAGGGCGCACGCGGAAGTCGCACCTCTATCTACCTCTAGTATACCGCTGCTCATCACGTCGGAGGAGCAGTTCAAGGTGTTCTCGCTGCCCGCGCTCAAGCCGCACAACAAGTACAAGCTCACCGCGCACGAGGGCGCACGCGTGAGTCGCACCTCTATCTACCTCTAGTATACCGCTGCTCATCACGTCGGAGGAGCAGTTCAAGGTGTTCTCGCTGCCCGCGCTCAAGCCGCACAACAAGTACAAGCTCACCGCGCACGAGGGCGCACGCGTGAATCGCACCTCTATCTACCTCTAGTATATCGCTGCTCATCACGTCGGAGGAGCAGTTCAAGGTGTTCTCGCTGCCCGCGCTCAAGCCGCACAACAAGTACAAGCTCACCGCGCAACGAGGGCGCACGCTCGCTTGCAATGATTTTATGTGGTGGATTATAGGTAAAAGTTATGTGATTTTGTTTAAAGTGTCTGCGCATGTCAATTTTTAAATACGATATTTAAGTTCCGTGATGGCGATGTGAACCTCAAGATAATATGTCTGCTTATTGTCATCGACTGTTTACTGAGTCAAGCTAAGATCTCCCAAAAAACTTAACATATTGTAAAGAAAATTTTAAACAAATTATTAGAAAGGATAATTCTCAATATTTAATATACTTCACACTAGCAAATGTACAAGAGTGCGAGTCCATTACCAAAGAAAGAGAAAGAATATCGTCTTTCGTATTCGTAATATATAGTAAATATTACATAACTAAAGTAGCCGTAGCAATAACTTGATAACTCCGAGGGCAAGTGCTCGCCTTTCACGTCACTGTACGCGTGTAACCCAACTTCGCTCCCCGCCGGCATCAATGAAATTGAAGATATCGTGAGGAACCTAACACTGAAAAATAATTTTTTTTAAGATGTGCAAAGATCCGCAATACAGTTTCTTGGCCTAAAAACTCACTTTTAAATGCGAAGAGGTATGGGCTCATCAATGGGACAAATATAAGTTAAGTTAAATTTTTAAAGCAAGAACTGCCGTATAGTGGTGGCGTATGAGAATCAACTACCTCTAGGCATCCCGTGGGTGAAATAAGAGCCAACAGGGGGAAACTGGTGAACTGATGAGAACCGCCTGCCGAAAATACGGCTCTTTATAGTTTGGTAGAAGAAAGAGGTGAAATTAAGTTATAGTCATTGCAACTCATTAATCCATTGAACGATCATCGGCAGGTGAGACGAACAGCGTTCGCGTGGTTCGAGTGCGTGTCGGGAGGGGAGCGGCATCGCGAGTGGTGCCTGCTTTGCTTGACCAACTTGGGCGACTGTCTGGTGCTCAGTCCAGAGCTTCGGAGACAACTCAACGCGGCCGCCGTTCGCAAAGAGGATATCAAGTAAGTAGCAGTACACATGGCTCCAAGCTTACCCACCGGGTCCTATACCCGCCTGCTTATGTCACTCACTGCATCTACACAAACCTATTACAGTCATACACACCCACTGAGATTATTCACCACCATCGCTAGGGGACAATCACTACGCCTGTAGTATCACATAATAGCAAACTGCACATATACTTCCCACTACTTAGTACCATGACAACTTACGTTTACTTTTGTCTTTTGTCAAAAATATATTAAGCCCATACTGAGATGTTCTCCTGGAGATAGTTTACATACATAAATTGCACAAGGACAAAAATCTAGATCCGATACAAATATTTGTAGGTCATACAAATATTGGTTCCATTCTGGATTCGTACCCGCGGCTCTCAAGGCTGCAACTTAAGCCCTTCCCGGCCCGTCTATCGTGGTGTGGTGGGCCACAACGCGAGCAAAGAATATATACACTACGCGAAAAGAAACGACACTTAAGCATGTGTGCACGTAAAATCGCTTGCGGCTATGTGTGGGTGTCTGGATGTGCGCGGGGGCCTTAAGAGGCGCGCGGGGCGTGGAAACGGGCAGTCGCCGACTGCCCTGGCCGAGGGCTAGTAGTAATCTCGGTATTTGTCAGTATTAGTTAATATGAATATATTCGTCAAGTGATATAATATTTCAAATAATATATGAATATTACCGATATCTTAATGTACATATTACTATTCTATTCATGTAGGTATTAAATTTATGTTACCAAGTAACGGTAATAGTTTTTATAGCCGAGTATGCTAGTTTATGTGCTTTGATAAATATTTTTGATTTTATTAAATAAATGATATTATAGTATATGTATTAGTATTACTGAAAGTGATTTTAAGTGATTACAATTAAAATAAATTCCACTGCACAAAACAAGGGCCCTTGTTTTGTTAGTTTAATTTTTAATAATGTTTTATGATACCTAAAAATATGTGAACTCATTTTAATGAATGTCGATATGATCTTAACAAGAATTATGGGGAAATACCATGGCAATAAAACTAATATATCGCCAATAATTTTATTATATTACATTAACTGAAATATACACTATTAAAATACCACTAGAGAGTAAAGAAATTTTAGATATCTATAAAGGGTTTTTGTATTTGTTCATTGTTGTATTTATGGATTATTTCATTAGAAATAGAAATGACTTATCTCCTCAACACATAGGGAACAATTTGTTGGCCGCTATGTCTCAGGAAACCTGCATACCTTTGTATTTTCTAAAAAAATATACATGCTATGAATTTTTGCAATTGTTAGAAATTATAATGAAAATTAAAAAAAAAAATCGAAAAATTCAAAAATATATAAGAGTAAATTATTTTTAAAGTATAAGTAGGTAATACTGATTATTGCGTACTGAAATACTAAATGTTGGTTAATTCTTTAAGATTACCATTAACTGTCGTGCACATCTGGTTTTGTCGGAAGTTTTAATATTCCTCATTTAATAAAAGTTGATTTAAAATTGAACGTATTTTTCACTACCTAAATACATTAGTTTACATAATATATAACACAATACCTACTATGTATCTTCTTTGGTACAAGTCTATAATATTTCATTTCGGTTCGATATCAACCCTAGCGTTACACGCATCGACTCAAGGTCACCGGCGCTTAAGCTCTCACGTACAGGGAGTGTCACCGCTGTGACGCGAGTGTGGTTTAAAAGCTTCTTGTTTCATCCAGCGCATAGTTACAAAAAGAGGCAAAGCGAAAAGAGAGAGACAGCGCCTGCGCGCTCGGTTGGCATTCGGTAACATTCGCCGCTCACTCGCGGGCGGTCGACCGCTAGTGTAAGCCTGTAAGCCATTCATCAGAATATATTATACAGTAATCTATGCCATTCATGACAATAATATTGAATCGTTAGCGCGCGTCTCGCTACTATGGCCTCGCGTGCGTATGGGGATAGTTTTGTAAATTTCGCTGCATACAGGACAGGTGCATACCTACATTTAGTACCGTTTTATTTACTGTCTATGTACATGGGTAGGCTAGTAGCTACCTACTATATATATAGATATGTATTTGTGTGTGTGTGATACTGCATAGTTGTGTGTGAGAGCAGTGGTGGCCCAGTGGTAACAACTTGACTTACGAGTTGTAGGTCTTGAGTTCGAACCAAGCAAAAGCCATGCGCATTACTTTGTGTAATTTATTTCATCACCAATGCTCTCAAAACAATAAAAATTCGAAGACATGTGACATTTACCAAGCGGCACTGGGCTCGCGTGGTGTATTTACAGCCCACATAGAGACGGCGTGTGTCACAGCTGTGGGAACATTATAGACTGATGATGACTGACTACTTACGTATTTGTTCATGTTATCAACATGAGTTGTTTAAAAATTGGTTTGATATTTTTACAGTACATTTAGCTACCTACTTTAGCTCTCTTGTATAATTATGTAAAGAAATCTACTTACCCACTTTACAAAACTACTTTTTAGTTCTGCTCAATTGTAATCAATAGTAATAAAATCGAGATTAATCCTTATCCAAACAAAATCGGTGTCCGTATTCACTAATGCCAGGTCGTAGTACATTATAAAATAACTAAACCTTTCGCAAGCCAAATCAGTGTCCGGTATAAAAAAAAACAAGATGGTTGTAGTAGGTAAAATAGAATTCACTAAAAGTAAAATGCAACAGCACATTCGCGTACGCGCAGTCAACAAATTATATACTTACTAACAATTCATTTTTTTACGTGGTAGAGCCATGCTGCAGTTATATTAGTAGTATAGTTGTAGCACGAATGGGTCGGCTCGACCGGAGAAGGACCACGTTCTCACAGAATACCAGCGTCAAATAGTAATTTAATGCTGCTGTGTTTCGTATGGTGAGTGTAGAGAACCGGAGACCCTTTTTACTGGAAACGAGACATTCTACATAAGTTCTTACGAATGACATTGCATCTACACATCTACATTTTGATTCGTAATCGAGGATAGATGTATATGTCTATGGGCCACAGCAACCACTTACCATCAGGTGGGCTGTGTGCTCGTTTGTCAACTTATCCTATATATAAAAAAAAATCGAGAGGCCCGAGAGCCGAGTGCGGGTGCGCCAGCGTCAACTCCCCCGTCTCACCCCGCCCCAGCCCCGTACGACTCGTCCCCCGCATACCTCACCGCCACTTGACTAACAAGCAAGTGAGAACGCGATAACATTCAACGAAAAATAGTGTGAGGAAATTTCATAAAACTTGTTCCAGGAAATACGTGTTTTTCAATAAGTCTTACAAGTTTGTGAAATAAATATTTGTCATTTAGAAACTCCATTACATTTGCGAGGTTTCTATCAAAATATTTTCATTGGTTTTACTATTTATGAGTACATTATGAACGGTCAAAGTTCAGGTAAATTTTGTGCAAAAAAGCAGATATTTCGAGGCTTATACTGAATTTGTTTCTCCATATTTTGATTTTTGGTTTTTATAGAATCCTAGCTATAGAGCACAAGATACCTATTAGTTTAAAAATTTCAAAGAAAGATCTATTACAACGCCATAATCACGTACGAGCGTTTGTATGAAAAGTAAGACGGGTTGGCCGCTCTTAATCCTAAACCATTGCGCCACAGAACCGTAAAAATGTCAACAATCATATCACAAAGATAATCTCATGAACTCCGAAAGAAGCGAAATAGGTGTGAATCGTCTGATACTCTCAACACCGATCAACGTAATGATTACGGCAAATCCTCTTTACTGAAAGAGGCAAGATGTTGTGTTTTTATAATACGAAGAAACTGATAAATTATGTTTTTTAAGTTATTCGCTTCTAATTTATTCTGGTATTAATCGGAACAAAACTTTAATTATGATTATCAACTCTAAAATAATCAATATCGATTTTTCTTAAGAATCGAATATTGTACGTAGCGATTTTTATGGTTGGCATGCCTAGTGCAATAAGTCTGACAGCTGTCAAAATGTATTTCTTAGATTTGGTTGAGTATAATGTTTTTATATAATAACTTTGTTTGGATCCGACTATACAGTTTAAAGCCATTAAATAAGGTTGATCCATCAGACTAAGCGGTTTATTCAATGATTGTGTTTCATTGACTAGGCGGTAAGGCTTCTTTTTAGCGTAGCGGTCTATCTGATTATCGCTATCTTAATATTTCTGCCGCCAAGGAGCAATGTACATAGTATATATTTGTTATTCGGATTTAACTTATTATAAGAACACTCATTCACGTACATATATTATGCATCTTGAATGATTTGCAAACAACGGAATGGTTGCATGTGTGCGTCCAGCTCTGGACTTTTACGATCTGATAAAAAAAGAAAGAATTCTATCAAAGAAAGAATAAAGTTGAGTGCGAGTTCTTGTAATAATTTGAGCATGGTTTCGGTGTCACTCAAAATGTCCGTATGTTAAGTCTTTTTTTTTATAGGACAAGGGGCAAACGAGCATACGACTCACCTGATGGTAAGTGATTACCGCCGACCATGAACAGCTGCAACACCAGGGGAATTGCAGATACGTTGCCGCCTTGTAAAAAGGAATAGGCTCTTTCCTTGAAGGTCCCTAAGTAGAATCGGTCCGGAAAAATCTCTGGTGGTAGTCGATTCCACAAGAAGTTGTACGAGGAAGAAAACTTTTTTTTAAGTCGCACAGTGGTGGAGCGCCAGTCATCCAGATGGTATGGATGGTATCGCGAGTTTTGTCGCGATGTGCGGTGATAGAGATTGCAATTATTACATATTTCACAGTTGAATTAAAATTATAACTTTATTTCAGTGGAATTTCAAGTCTATGCTTCTCAAAGCGAGGTGAAGCTCTCTACTTGCACTCATCCTCTGAACTTCAAAGGATTTCTCTTTCAGCAACTAAGGTATATAACCTTTTATTAGACATCAATACATAATATATGTCAATTCATAATATACTATATATTTTATTCTAATATACTATTGTTTTTAGTAGTATGTATTTTGATGATAATTGAATCATTGCAGTAAAAAAAAAATTACTTTGAAGTCTATTTTTTTACAAATGAACTAAGAAAATTATTGGGATACTTTCACTTTGACTAAATTTTAAATTTAATTTAAAAAAAACAGCAAAAACGTTTTAATAATATTTTTTATTAATAAGCTCCTATCACTTTATTGTTTAGCGCGATATAGATTTCTATAAAAGTATTTACGCTAGCATGCCTGCATTTTGTTTTGTTTTGGTTAATTTTTATTATGTGAGTCATCATCATTATCATCATGATCATTTTTACAACCCATCACTAGTCCACTGCTGATATAGGAAGTCGACGGACGCATGTGGTTCAGGACCGTGTTTTGTAACATTCTCTGAGGGAGACCTATGTTCAGCTGTAGACTTGTGAAGCGTTGTAATGATGATGATGTTTTATTTAATTTTCATCATCATTGATCCGCTTAATTAAATACAATGATGTGTCTTACCAGTATTTCAATACTGCTCTTCAGAGCACCTCCGGTAACGTAACATAACGGTCAGCCGCCGTAGAGTCTACATCACCTGAAGATGCCTCGTGTAGAGGCGAAACACGAGTCGTATTGTCGATAATGTGTCTTTCCTGGAATAGTGGTGTTGGGAGTAGTGATGCCGGGAGTAGTAGTGTTGGGAATACTGGTGCTGGAATTAGTGGTGACGGGACTAGTGCACGCAATTGAGGGAGGGCGGGAGGAGCTCTTCAATCCAGGTAAGACACGTCATTGTATTTAATTAAGCGGATGGTTACGAATTAAATATTGGTATCTTTATTATGATGGATTTCCGCAAAGTGACGCCTGATTCTATCAATTAAATTAATTCAATGAATATTTTGTCAGGTAACAATCGCACAGTGCCACATAGTGCTGCCAGCGTGGGCGGCTGCGCTTCGAGGACCGGCGGAAGAAACGCCTCTAACAAATGGTGAACATAAGGTATTTTAATTTTATTTCGACAAAAATGGTTTTGGACTGGAATTGCCAGTTAGCTATAACCAAACATACGTAGTCATTTTTAAGTACTATAGTCAATTGTGTAATTGGCACTATAATTATTATTAAACAACCGTATCATGCAATTCTCTCTCTCCGATCGGCTCGATTCACTGGCGCTGCGATTCACTGATTCCTTTGCGTATTCTATCATATTTACTATGGGGAGTGCCCTGAGGAATAAAGTAAAAGTAAAGTTACAGCCTATATACGTCCCACTGCTGGGCACAGGCCTCCTCTCATTTCTGAGAGGGTTTTAGGGCAAGGAAGTGTCCACCGCGCTGCCCCAATGCGTGTTGGCGAACTTCACACGTCTTCGAAATATTTTTTTCTTATTTCTCTGACATGCAGATTTCCTCACGATGTTTTCCTTCACCGCCGAGCACGTGGTAAATCAGCACTTAAAATTGCAATTAACAATTTCATTGGTGCCGGCGGGGATCGAACCCGGTTTGCTCGCGTACTGTGAAATTTACAGCGAGCGCTAACCATCTGAGCTACCACGGCTCCTGAGGAATTGTTTGTATTAATTCCAGACGCCAAATGTCACCAATGCATATTCCATTAATACTTACGTTACCATCCACATTGTCTAGATGCTTGGCGGTCCTCTACCGTGCAGTTTACTGGTAGTTTTCTTTCTCGAGACCTTCAAGAAACGAGCTTTCTCATTTTTAAAAAGGCCGTCAGCGCACCTGCAATTCTCCTGCTATTGCAGTTGTTCATGGGTAGCAATACCTACCATCAGGTGAACCGTATGCTCGTTTGGCCCCCTCTTCTATAAAAAAAATTGAATTTACTACATTTACTATTCGTGTGATGGCGTCGTAAGAGGTGACTGACCTGAACTGAAGAGGTGAGGTAAATGAACTAGATGTGCAGTACTATCTTCTAAATAACAACAAAATAAGTAACTGCGGTTGCGAAACTCGCCATTGACAGGTTCTAATGATAATTATTATTATGATTTACTAGTCTCTCTAGATTTGCTTGGGATTTAAGTTTACCTGAAGAATATCAGTGAGCTACGGTTTGACAGTTGTCTATATTGGATCTACATGTCTACTCTGGTCTTGATCGCAGTACCAGCCGTGAGCACCTGTGACGCTGCCCTTCGTCGCCAGCCAGACTACTGATATGATCGGCATTACCAGTGCGAGTGTCTTGGCGCTTATCTTATCTCTTTTACGTGGTAAAGCTATACTGTAGCTACATTATAGCACGAATGGGTTGCCTCGCCCGGAGAAATAACATGCTCTCACAGAATACCAACGTATAATAGGCGCTTAATGGTGGTTTGTTTTGTATAGTAAGTGTAGCGAACTGGAGATTCGGAAACCCATTTTAGTCCTCAGGGGTGACAACGTATTTATATTTTGATTCTTAATTTAAAATAGATGTAGATGTTGATAGGCCACTGCATCTACTGATATTCAGGTGGATCGTGGGCTTGTTTGTCACTGTTATTCTATGTATAAATATCAGTTCATCTGGCCAAACTGCATCCAGGTCTTCTGTTAAAACGGCTATGTAAGTGTTTTTTTGGCTGCGGTTTCATTGGTCGCCTCGTAACGTTGTTGACCCAGGAGGAGGCAGCTGAGGCGCCGCACGACGTGACGGCCGCCTCGGGGGACATCACGGTGGACTCCGTGCGCGACCACACCGGCGCGGAGCCGCCGCCCGAACTCAACATCAATCTGCAGGTCGGTTATGGGATTTCAATTTATCTATGTACTTGAAGTAACTTCGACAGAGAAACGGATGGCTCCCTACTTAGCTCTCTCATATTCTCTTCATACTTGGTCACTTCAGAACGAGGCAAATTATTGTTCTCGAACTTCTGCATCAACGGAACCATGTCATTGTCTACAAGTTTTTTTACGTGGTATAGCCATGCTGCAGTTATATTAGTAGTATAGTTGTAGCACGAATGGGTCGGCTTGACCGGGGAAGGACCACGCTCTCACAGAATACCAGCGTCAAATAGTAGCTTAATGCTGCTGTATTTCGTATGGTGAGTGTAGAGAACCGGAGACCCTTTTTACTGGAAATGGGGCATTCCACCTAAGTCCTCACGGATGACAATGCATCTGCATTTTGATTCGTAATCGAGGATAGATGTAGATGTCTATGGGCCACAGCAACCACTTACCATCAGGTGGACTGTGTGCTCGTTTTTCATCCCATCCTAGAAAAAAAAAGTTGGAAACAAATTATAGTACAAAATAACGCTTATTATAATTTAGCGTAATTAGTTACTTTGAAAAATAATCCAAGATAAGTATTTAAAATAAACACAAACCTCCTCACCCTCTTAAATGATTACCAATTTACAAATAATTTTACACAAAACCGCAGAACTCGCAAGTGAACACGAGCTCGATAGTGGTGAAAACAACGACGCGGACGACCATCGCCGAGAACAACGCGGACGGTACCAACAACACTACGACCACCACTACAACCACCAGCAACAACACCGGCGAGAACAGTAAGTACTCTCGCTCTAGTCACACCACTACTTAACGTTTCGTACACGTAAGTAATATACTATTCTAGTACAATATTAAGTATAGATATGTCTCTTTCGCACGGTCAGCGAGAATAATCGAGAATACCTAATACTAAGTAAGTATTAGGTACTCTCGACTATTTCAAAGAGGGTTTCAAATTGTACGAGTGAATATAATAGCAAAGAATACTATTACTAACGTAAAGAAGCGACACTCACATGTGACCCCTTCCCCCCCCCCCCCCAATATATTGTCCCCGATACGTATAAATACGCCTAATAGTATTACTGTTCTAATACCATTCGGTTGTTAATAATGAGGATATAATTGGACTGTTTGATACAAAAATGGGCTAACCAAATGACTTTAATAATTATCCAGAGGATCTTTTTTCAGTTTCCTCTCAAGTACGAAAATGTTATAAAAATCTACATTCAATTTTCTTTAAAATTATATAAGTGTACATATTACACAGAGCACAAAGGAATAGGCACTAATACGAACATGTAAACACCCTTGTTCGGATTTTCTCGCTACTCTGCCCAAATATCGCCTATTCTCCAATCGACGTTGGTTTTTTAGCACAAGTCTTTTTTTTATAGAAGAGGGGGCAAACGAGCATGCGGCTCACCTAATGTTAAGTGACTACCGCCGCCCATGATCAACCGCAACACCAGGGGAATTGCAGGTGCGTTGCCGGCCCTTTAGAAAGGAGTAAGCTCTTTTCTTGAAGGTCCCCAGGTCGTATCGGTCCGGAAAAATCGCTGGTGGTAAACTATTCCACAGAGAGATTGTACGCGGAAGAAAACTCCTCTTGAAACGTACAGTGGTGGACCGCCAAGCATCCAGATGGTGTGGATGGTATCGGGACGTTTGCCGCGTAGTGCGTTCACGAAATTTGGCGGCTGGGATTAATCCGAACAATTCCTCAGAGCACTCTCCATGGTATATGCGAAATAAAATGCAAAGAAATGTAACATCTCTTCGCAGTGCCAGTGAATCGAGCCGATCGGAAAGCACTCGGTCGTCGACGGTTCGAGCCGCTCTGCGCTGGATGCGGTCAAGTGGAAGGAGCTGATACTGGGGAGCCCCAGCCCAAAGATGGGAACAGTATTCCATGTGCGGCCGAACCTGCGCCTTGTAAAGTTGCAGGAGGTGTGCCGGCATGAAATACTGTCCCGCTCTGCTGAGCACGCCAAGCTTTTTAGAGGCCAATTTGGCCTTCTCTTCCAAGTGACCACGAAACTACACGTCACTCGACATGTCGACGCCGAGGATTCCGATACTGGCTGAGGCAACAAGGGGAGTGCCTTGAAACTGAGGAGATACGACAAAGGGGTTCTTTTTAGCGGTTAACGTGCAAACTTGTGTCTTCTGGGGGTTAAACTGGACTAGATTTAGTCGCCCCCAATCCGAGACTCTGTTCAGCAAAGACTCGACTTCAGACACAAGTTTGTCCCGGCACTCGGAGACGTCAGGCCCACTCGACTTGTTGTCCAGGGAGAGGAGTGCTTTGCGAACCGAGCGCTGTGTGAACTGCACTTCCGGCATGAAGCACTCACACCGCGGGATGGTCGGCGGCGTACTCCCTCCGTCATCGAGAGTCGAATTGGACGCAGAGAGCCTAGAAGATCGGCTTTCTCCTTTGCGGTATGGGCCAGTGAGTCGTCCTCCCTGTGCAGAGATGGAAGAGATGGCTGACAGAAATTCCCCTGGACAGCCTTGGCGAGAGACCAGAATGCACGGGTTCCAAAAGGAAGGCGAACTAGTTTCTCGCCAATTCTGCCTATGTGCTCTGACTTTGCCTTGGCAATTACTCTTTTGAACGACCTAGAGGCGGAATTATTCTACTTTTTTTAGAGCGCTGGTGTTTACAGGAAATAAAAAGGAATAAAAAGTTCCATACCCTGAAGTACCACATAGCGACAGAATCCGCAATAACGTTGGGATCGTCCGGCGAGAAGCAAACCCGCCCCCAAGGGTAGGATGCAAAGCAAGACCGCATCCCATCCCAATCGGCTGACCTATATTACCAAACACGGCGGCAGCCTGCAGAATGCAACTGCGATTTCAGCGTGAGTGGCACCACACTCCGGACAAGACAATGGTCCGAGGAGCCTAAAGGAGCGTCGACGGAAATCTGATATCCGTCCGGGTGAGAGGTCAGCAGAAGGTCCAACAGGGAAGGTGCATGATCCTCCACATCTGGAATCCGCGTAGGCGAAGTAACTAGTTGTGTCAGACCATATGCCAATGCAAAATCATGAACAGATCTCCCCACATGATCGGTTAAACGTGAACCAAGCCATTCGGCGTGATGGGCGTTAAAGTCGCCGAGGATCACGATCTCTGCGGAGGGGATCTGCTGTAGCAACGAATCTGCAGCTATTTGGACGTGGTCGAAGAGTCGGTCTGTTTCGGCATTACCGCTATGGGACCTATAGAGGCACCCGTAGACGCGCGGATGGTCGTCGCTGTCTACGCGTAGGCAAAGGATTGACAGGTCCGAACCTTCAAGTCTGCCGAGGCGTCGAGAACAGATGTCCTCTCTGACGTAAACGCAAACTCCAGCCCGAGGCACAAAGGAGTGTTCCAGTTTGTACCCCGGGAAGGAGAGATACGAGACATCAGCCGGAGAGGACACCTGCGTCTCGGCCTTAGGTTAGAGTGAAGTCCCCTGATATTGCAGAAATTCACGGACAGCGTGGCAGGGGTAGCCTCGGTCTTATTACTCCGTTTGCCCCGAGCAGTTGTAGTCTTGAGCGGAATTTTGCCCCCCCAGAATACGCGAGGCAGCCAGAGCACCCACGCTCAGAAGTGGGGAAACATGGTCTTGGATGCTCAGCGAGGGATTCTCCAGGGGTGCTGGTACCCTCCTGGGGTAGTATATCATCATTTAATTCCGCTACCATGTGGATGGGGGGGGGGGGGATGTGGGCCTCCGGCCACCTGCACTCACCAGACGAAACGCGGAAGCAGAGCTTCCACTTCACGCCGGTATTCTGTGAGGTCGTGGTACCACCCCGGTTTGAGCCGGCCCATACGTGCAATAGCAAAGCTGCCGCGTGGCTCTACCACTGTCAAACTCAAATGAATCGTGTATATTCGTATCGATGTTTACATACTCGTCATTATTTGCTTGACCCGTGAACATTGTCGCAGGTGATTATTATTTTTCACAAAAAATAATTTAAAAAAAATAACAAACATGTTTACCAGGTTGATGGATTAGAGTAACAAATCCACTATTAAATTTATCAAGGAAACACGTGATATAAAATTCTAGAAATCGGTAAAAAAAATTATATAGATTAAGGGTGACAAATGAGCACACAGTCCACTTGATGGTAAGTGGATGCTGTTACCTATAGACACCTACATTTATAGTTGATTAAGAATCAAAATGCAGATGCGTCGTCACCCCTGAGGACTAAGGTGGAATGTCTCGTTTCAAGTAGAAAGGATCTCCGATTCTCTACACTCACCATATACACAACAGCATTAAGCTGCTATTTTACGCTTGCTTCTTTTTTTTTCTACCAAAGGTCAATGATCTCGCGTCATTTTTTAAGCTTTTTGGTGCATATTCACAGCTAAAAGGGATATTATGATCATAACACGTTCTTCCTGTTTTCGTAATCAATCGGCCTTATATTCGCGTTTATTTCTTTATACAGAAATGAACTGACAAACGACCTTCCAGTACACCTGATGGTAAGTGGCTACCACCACTGTACCCCATGGATATCCTTAACCAATTTCAAACAAAGAACGCTACAGATGCGTTGTCGCCTCTGAGGACCAAGAGAGATGTCCCACAGCCTGTTAATTATACTGGTTCTCTATAGCCTTCAGACTGTAACACACAACCACAAACACAAATACAAGCACTGTTGTTTGTGCATTGTGTTGTTGTGGTTTTAGTTATCACCTCTCCAAGACCCAGTCCTACCACCTAAAAACATCAAGTTACCTACAAAAATTAAACTGAAAACATGGAATTATTCGCGAACTTCTTTTTGTTTAATGTTACTATGGAAATAAACACATAAAACCTACAATAATATATACCAAAATGATATATTTTTAAAATAATTACATCCCGTAATAACGAATGGCATCCGCATTGAGCTAGCTTCATGACCAAAATTCTATCAAGAAAACGGCGATTACTGTTAAACATTACACTTATACTTCAATTTGTAAAAAAAAATTAATGTATTGCTCAGACCCAACACACAGGAAACCGTTCAAGCTATTCCAAGTCAATAAATTTAATTTATCCGCCATAATTTTATTATTTTGCTATCTTACCTTACTATGCTATGATATTCGCAACGAAAGACGAGACTTGACGAGCGACAGAAGAGTCCACCGTTATACTTAATTTATAATTAGGGAATTTTCGATGACATTTTGACTTGTGTTTACTAACAATACTTATTACGAAATTATAGAAATAATTGTTTGTAAAAAGAAAACAAAAAAAAAAAACTAAATCCGTTACATCAAAAAACTACTATTTACTTTTTAAATGTTTAGTCATGGTAAAACTATTTGCCACTTAGTTGCGGTTGCGGTACGGATTTGTTCCTGTTACAAATGTTGTATATTATGGTTCTTTGCATCTTTTGATATAACTTTGTATACAAGGTGTAAGTGTAAACACCGTTGTCACTAAAACCATAGGTAGTTGGCTTTAATATAAAAATATTTATCCGAATTTAAAAAAAAAACGCTATTTTCTTTCATAAAATTTAAAAAGTTTCTGTCCGACACTGTCCGTAAATTCATGGATACCCTATGCGCCCGAGTGACGTAATCACTGTAAAGATCACCGCCCGCTTAGCTACCTACACAAAATTCACAAAAAAAAAAAACACTACCTGTGATGTATCTTTTTCCTTCATACTTTCATCCTGGCTTAGGACAGGCAAAAATTGAGGAATTAAGGAAAAATTGATTTTACTAAAAAAAGTTCTTATTTTTCTTTGAATTTACGTTCTATAAGTGAAACCAAACCGCTGGTTTCAAGGATAACGGTGTTTACACTAACAGCCTGTATATATATACAAGTCAAACCATGGCGTGCGTTAGGTCTCATCTTTCGAGGTACGTTATACACCGATACAAAACCCTAAAAAAGACATCTTATTCTAGTATATAATATAATAGCCTATTAAATTTATATAATTGTATTTCAATATCTCGCTTAATATATCTAAAATTATATGTTTAATGTTTGTTTGTATGTTTGACGGGCGCTTTATGTTTTTGTTTGTAGTCCTAGAGCACAGTCGCGAGGAAGGCGTCATCACCCGCATCGAGGTACCCCACACTTTGCTTTAATACCTAATTTTTTTATTATACGCCTGGCATTTCGCCTTGCATGTCTTTTATATCGTTAATTTCTAACTCTATAACATTCCCTTGCAACACTAACACTATAACTAATAAATTCACATTGTTGTGACGTTCGTTCGTTTCCGCTCGTGTTGTCCATCGTCAATATAAAGATATCTAGAAAGGCAAAGTGTAAAATAAAACTGGTTTGCTAGGAAGCGGACGGGCGTCACGCAATTCCACGAGCAAGAACGTACATTGGTACTCATGAGGCGTTGTCTCCAGACGGGAACCATAACGGTGCCGGCCGGAACCGACCCGAAGCTGATCCTCGAGATGTTTGACCGCCAGAGGTCGCCGCTAACCGTTCCCGTTCCACCGACGCCCACCGAAACCCACTAGACCACACTCTATCAAGCACCGAATTACTCCGAACTACCCGCAGCATTGCTCCGATACCATATCGTTTTGATATACAACGTATTGTTATAACAATAACAATTTTATATCAAGATTGCGAGAATACAAAACATCCACATTTTGATACGATTTGCACTTGTAAAGATACTGTTAATGTTTTCGTTTTCGTATCGATTTGTTTTAGATAAAGTAGCAACATTTATTACTGTAAGGAGTCTTGTTCAATCATTTATGAAGAATTGTAATTTAGTTTTCCGATTTTTATCGAATTATTAGATAATTTCAATAATAGGATACGTCTTGTTGTACCACTGCCTCTGACAGCTAAATGTTACTGCCTCATGTTTAAAGAATCAATAAACAACAATTTTTCAACAATCACTACATTTGTCACATAATACTTACCTTTTGGTCTCTTAAAATATTTGATTAGGAGTAATTTTACTGTCACATGTACATTTTCAGTTTACGTTAAGGTACTTTATTTTATAAGAGATTATGCATTTTATAGTTGGATACTTTTAACTGACAATTATGCGTGCTTGAATTATAATTATAACTAAAAATTGTTACGTAACTATTATACTTAAAAATTGTTCACTGATTATTAACTTTGATATTTAAAAAATGCGTACTTAAAAAGAGGATTTTTTTATTACCATTTTATAATTCAGTACAAAAAACAAAACAAAAGCCATAGCAGTTATTTAACTGGCAATACTGCAATTTGATTGTGGATTGTTTTTATCATTATTTTCTAGATAAGTAACATTGTGAAATTATTGTATTGATTAAGGTTTATAACATAATAAATATTCAAGCATTCTTTACGAATGAAATGTGCCTATTTATTTCTCTTTTATAATAAAGAAAACTTTATGTAGGTAAATTAGAAATATACGTTTTGACAAATAATGTAGTATTTTTTTTATTATTAATAGCATTTAGATTTTCCATGGCGTTGTCAATTTTTAATAAATAATAAACTGAGAATGTGTTATCACGTATTGCTTTGAATTGTATATTCAGTGTTAATTTAATTATGTTTTAGTGAAAACGCGTGGATAGTTTTTGCAATATTTTAGCTCTTTGTTTGTAGACTTTCTATTATTAGTATTATTTTAATTTAATTTGTTTATGTTGTACCTAATTTGAATTTATATTTTTTTATTTTTCTTTATTTCTTTTAAAAGGCAGCTAAACTGTGCACCGATAATTATACCGCCATATAATATTTTAAAAATAATTTTAATGAACAGTATTTATGTGGCTACAAATTAATTTGCATGTTCTACATCACAATGTGTGATAAAAGGGGATTGATTATTATTTTAGGCATTATTTTATTTTAGCTTATAAGTATAATGTGCCTGCCTATGTTTTATTTTCTAAGTATTAACAATAAACTGCGTCGAGCTACGAATGGAGTTATAACGTCCAGTTTGCTTCAGTTTTAGTGATGTACAATTTTTAATGCTGCTGTAGCATTTTTAAAATATTTGATATAAAATTGAGATTTGTATCCGACATTATTACACAAAAATAAAAGCTACGATAAATTATGCTTATTTTATTACGTTCCTTTTCAGTTCATTTTATTGAAATATTTAAAACAGTTTCCCGATGAGAAGTGGCCAGTGCCATAATCTGGGGGCACGGCAGTGCCCCCGCCAAGTCGAGCAAAAAAGCGGCACGGCCGTACCATACTTCTCTCGAAGCAGTTCAGGCCATTTTCGACACCCTATAACTTCGTAGTGGATAAAACTAGAAACCTGAATTTTCAGAAACCAAGCAGACTGTATAGATACGGTGTATTTCAAATTTCATTCAATTTGAAACAGTAGTTTAGGAATTATAATTAGTCAAAATTTTCTTAACTTTGTCACTTACTGACTGACCGATAATCAAAACTCTTAGGCACTTCTAGCAGACATAGAAGCTTTAAACTTAGAACACAATTAGTGTTTAGTGTATAAATCAAGGAAAAACTAAAATATTTTTCAATTTCGGTCCAGTTTACTAGATACACTAACTGCCTAAATAACTTTGTAATCCCATATAAATATATAGGATTACAAAGTTACATTTGCAGTGAATGAATCAGTACCTGTATATCTTAATATATATAAATGACGTGTCACGTTGTTTGTCCGCGATGGACTCCTAAATTACCTAACCGATTTTAATCAAATTTGCACACCGTGTGCAGTTTGGTCCAACTTGAGAGATAGGATAGTTTTTTGCCCATGAGTGAGCCACAATTTTTTTTTGCGAATTTAAAGTTTTTAATAGGACATTACAAAGGGTTGTCGAAAAAGACAGAACAACGTCTTCCTAGCAAGCTAGTGTATAATATAATGGAATAAAATGTGTAGATAGGTACTTTGTTGGTAATCAAGAAGTAGAAGGTATTGGAAGGAAAAAAGTAGGACTATCTGCAAAAAGAAATGAGATGTCATCAAAAACATAACTTGTAAAAAAAACCAAGTCTCTCAGCTCAGATCTTCTATCGTAAAACGTTGTGAGATCCATGTAATACCAAGTCGGTTAATTTATTCAGTTCATACTTAAGTGTCCTTCTGTCTTAAGTTATTACATAATTAGCTAACATAACATCTTATTGTGACCCTGCCAATATTAAAAATCTTTTATGTTTTAAACAAATAGATTGACTTGGCAATCGCACTAAGCTATCGAATTTTATATAATATGTGTTACTTGTAAGATACATTGTGTTTTAATGCGATGGCCCAAGTCAATCTATATATTTAAAACAAAAAAGATTTTTAATATTGATATGGTCACAACAAGATGTTGTTATGTTAGCTAATTACGTAATAACTTAAGACAGAAGGACCCTCAAGTATGAACTGAATAAATTAACCGACTTGGTATTACATGGACCTCACAACTTTTACGATAGAAGAACTGAATTGCGAGACTTGATTTTTTTTTACAATTTATGTTTTCGATGGCATAGATTCTTACCCTACTTTATGAAAAAAAAAAAGACATCTATCATTCATCTATACTAAAATAATAAAATCCGTACAAGTGCGAAGACTCGCATTCTCTAGTATATAGTCAGTAATCTATGACTCGCATCCTTTGGACTTCATATAAACTTAATTATGTACGTAGTAGATGGTTTATTCCCCCCAAAAATTATAGGTAAGATAAGCACCGAACATTGCTCTTAGGAAAAGGTCATTTAAAAAACAAAATTTGATTTGAAATAAACGTTCTCTCATACATCGGTTTGCTGGTGGTGCTAAATAAGCGACGAGCCGAGTCTGTGCTAAAAAAATGCTCGTATCTTTTAATTAGGTTGACTTTGTATGCCTCCAAGGGTTTGAATAGATTTTAGTATTTAATATTATTTTTTGCTCGATACCTATTCCCGTTCTTGAGAAGAATCTTGACAGACGGACGTACAAAAAAATGTGGTACCGTTACTGTTACAGCTCATTAAAAGTCCACTGCTAAACATAGGTCTTCCTAATAGGTTGTCTCATAGGGGGATATCTGCCATAGTTGCCACGCTTGGCAGGCTGGTTGGCAACCGCAGTTTTATTTGTAGTCGTTATTAGGAAAATGCTGCTGACCGTTTCCCGGTTTGTTTCCCCCGTCACCTCTTACTACTTGACCACGGGGTTGATATAGCGCAGTGGATATTCTTATATACGGTCAAACGATCAGTTTGAGGTACGGAGTAATAAAAAAAAGGTCGTCTATTAAAAATTAATGCGTCATGGCAGACTAATGGCGGGTTCGAATCCGCCATTTGACTACTGTCGTGAACCACTCCTAACACAAGCGTTTCAAGCTTATCAGGAGTGGTTAAAAGGAATATTAGTAATGTTAATAAATAAGATTACTAATATTAAAAAAGAACTGAAAAGAAACACACTTTGAAATGTGTAAACTTTTTCTACAATGCTAAAAAAAAAAAGTTGCATAAAAAAATCTCACTCAAGGTAAAAATAATAAACAAGCTTTGATTCTTGTCACAAGTAGACAACAACCCTTACATTACAGGTGCCCGGTCAAAAGAGATGAGAGCTACGTTAGGACAGGCACCTTGTACGTACACCAATATTAGGCATTCGGCAATCTGCGAACTAAATTGCACTTTAATGTTTCTAAATCTTAATTAAAAATATTTGCGGTAAGTATTCTGAAGTTATCGAACATAAACACCTCTGTCTCACGGAGGAGTAGGCAGTGACTGGACTGATGCATACATGTTCATCGGTTAAGAATAAAATTACCCATCTTCAATATATCGCCAATTTAGTCCACAAACTTCCGTCTAGTACCTCCCTCACACTGTCACACCCGGACACTCCATACTCGTACAACGCTCGCAAACTAATTACATATTACTACTGCTTAGGCAAATGACGTTTCTACACGCGCAAATGTGTGCATGAAATTTAGTAGAGATGTGCGGCGGCCGAAGTTGCACCCGCCGCTCGTTCGCCGCTTCATCTGAATGATATGTACATTCTTCACCTTCTTTATCAGCTTGTGAAAGCCCACAGCTTGACATGGGCCTCTTCACTTGAGTAAAATACAACTGGTGTATTTAAATCGCACTAGCCTACGTGGCTTAGGTATATAAAAAGACTGTGGGCGTCGCACACGTTTGACACCGGTCTGTGTTCTGTGCTCTCTACACAAATTAGTAATATGATAATACGTCCAAGCGACTACGGCATTAATCTCGCATAGATTTAATCTTTGGACGACTGATAATTAAAAAATATAGACTGTATGGATAGGTATAATTGGACTATACAAACTTCCTTTTGGTATAGTTACTATCTGATACAAACTGTGTCTACTATAATTAGGCAAAGAGTATACAATCACTAGGTGTTATTATTAATAATCTATGTTAAAACGTGGTGATTATAAATATAGTGTATACTCTCATCTATGGTATGAGTATCCTAGCAACCAGTCTAACACAGCTTTCGTTTTGAAATTATTTACAAACAAGTGTTTTGGAAATTCATATTCGATATTATAATATTATATTATAAACCTCGTAATGGATTCTGATGTTGAATGTCCATGCACGGAGGATGTTGCTGCACCTTCGATCCTGCCAAGTTGCACTTGCACAAAGGACGACCATGACAAAGTGATCCACGTAGAACATTGTATATTTTACAGGAATGAACAATTAATTTATCATAAAGTAAATATTTTCAAATGTTCTTTTTTGTTGATGAATTTTTTTCAAATTTACAGTACTATTAAGTTAAGAATTAAAAATTAATTCCTAGTAATACCCAGTAGTATAATAATTCTATGCCTAGTAACCATTTAGTTTTAGAAGTGGCATTACTTGAATGGCGGATCGAATTTACGGCTTTAAGGTACTGAGTATTTGACAAATTGTTGAAGATATTAAGTCGGATTGGCGCATTTTTAAAAAGATCTGAATACTTATAGATCTTGACAAATAGATTACCTATTAACCGGTGTGGAAAAAGCAGGACACGCTGGTATTCTGTAAGACTGAGGTCTTTTCCCGGTCAACCCAATATTTTTTACTCGCACTATGCGGTTACTCGAGCCAGCCAGCCGTTCGATCGATTACAAATAAAATATATCATCATCACGTCCAGTATTGAACGTAGGCCCCTTCTGAGGCGCGCCACTTAGCCCGATCTTCAAAAACTTATTTCTATTCTTACTGCGAAGGCTGCCCGCAAACCGTTCCGGTTGGTTGGAGAGCAGCCTTACTTTACACTTTGGTTGCTCCCTGAATGTCAGGATTTTCGCACAGTTGCTCTCATCGGCCTACGTAGAGATGTGGCCAGTGATCCGTGCCCGTCACAGAAATGTCTGGTGAATGATGATGAGAAATGTTAAATTACCAACCCAAAATTCTAGGATGTGCACTTAAATAATTTCACACAAAAACACTTAAAAATAGCCGAGGAATCAACACATGAGATTCCACTTGAATAATTTTATTGCTTTAATTGAGTTTTAGCTTCATCGGTAACCGCCTTTAGGGACCAGAGCCACTCTGAAAATAGCTCTACAACCCCTTGTAAACCTAAATCGAGTCAGATTGCGTGCATTTTTTCCATGTAATTACAAAGACGCCTGCACCCTATACGTTTTTCTTCTTTATTTAGCGTAAATAAATTTTTCTAATTACATGTTTAATATATCAAAACCTCAACCGAATATTGCAGTTGTGATTGTGTCTAGCTGTAATCCGGTCAAACGCATTCTGTGGGGTAACCGATGCGTTGGGCATGAGCTCTCAGATATGCAGGTTTCATCAGAATATTTTCCTTGACTACCAAGTATCTGCTAAGTCATCAACTCAATTTACTCGCAAATGCACACTATAGTTTTACATTCAGCCCCATGCCATTACTCCTCGCGCTGCCGGCCATACTTCGCTAGATATGTAGCAGGATCGAGAGAAGTGTGCATTTACATTCTGCCCTACCACTCACATCACTTTCGGCTATGACAGACGTCGAAATAATTACACCATTCGCGCTGTGTCTTCTTGTAATACAAAATTATGATAATAATTTAAAAATATATCAAATTAAAAAGAAAAAATTCGTCATCGTAGAAGATGGTGGTGGTCGTATCGTTGAAATCTCATATAATTTTTTCTGATTCCAGCTGTTCTAAAAACTTGATTGTATTTTCGTTACTCCACTCGAAAGGCATTTTGGCAGATCCTACTTATTTAAAAACAAGACAGCACGCATGTCCGTCCGTCCAGGCGCTTGGCGCGAACTTTGACGCAAAGTGAGCGATGGAGCAGAATGTGAACACTCACTGCCGCTCGCGCTGCCTCCTTTGACTTCCGCACGAAAAACCGACAATCGAGGGAGCGTCGGGCAGCGGCAGCGGCATGGGCAGTGACAGCGCGAGTAGCCTATTTACATAGGTACTGCCCTGCCCACTTCCCTGCCCAAAAAGGCTGAATGTAAATGGGGCATATGAATTAAAAGGCGTGTGCACTTCCCTGAGCTAACACCGGTGTAAATTTATAATTTCTTTTCAGCGCTCGGCCTTGAGATACGTGGTAGAGCACGTTTCTCAAAGCGAAGCGTTTGCTATAGATTTCACATTAAAAGACAATCATTCTTCGAACCTTCGATCAAGACGACATCGACGCATTAATGAAATTGTAATTGTAAGTGCTAATTTACCTACGCGCACCTTTGAATGAAAACATCACGAGAAACCTGCATTTATAAGCAAAAATATATCTCGAGCACATGTCACCACGCCCTGTAATTTCGGCGAATTAATTGTGAGAGCTCTCAGATATGTACGGACTTATGGGTTTTAAATTAACGTTTATTAATTCTTATCTTACTATTGTCGCTTTTATTATGAAGGAGGCTGCTTGCGAATGTTTCGTTCCTGTTACACCTAATGAAGATGGCGACTGTCAGTGCTGTAGGTGCCCCGAAAACCAATGCCGCTGTAACAAGGCCGGCAGAGAAGTTTTCGAGGAGTAAGAATTTTATTTATTGTATTTATAAATTATTAAAACGATTTTTTAATAAGAGCCTTGATTTAGGGCGTTATCACACTGGCGATTTGCAAGCGAGTTCAAAGCGAGGCGAGTGCGTACGAAGTTTGCAGCGAGCGCGCAGTGAGTTCGCCGCAAAGACACCGCGCTACAGAGTAAATAATAGACCGCGCGAATAATGCCGTCGACACCACTTTATAAAATGTCAAATGGCAACATCCGTTCAACAGCCCGCCTCGCCTCACTTCAGTCGTATCAAAGAGGTTCGCTAGGCTAAGGCGAGTTGCCTTGCTTTGAACTCACTTTCAAATTGCCAGTAGGTATGATTTGGTCTTTAAGATTCTTGAAAATTAAGTTTCATCATACATGAATACTACATGACACTAGCGAGCTATAGACAACTGTTTACTTGGAGTTTTTCTGCGAGATAGCATATTTATGCAAAATACCCGCAGTAGAAACAGAAAAACCTACATAGGCCAATGTCACAGTAAGCTGAAGTGACAATGAGGGGCTACATATTTATACAATGCTACATTTTATACTGATGATGATAATATGAGATTTAAAACGAGCCAATTTTGGTGACGTACAGAATTACTTACGACTGATAATTCAAAACGGTGGTGGGTTAAAAACTACAGATAGCAAGGAAGTAAATATATACAATAAGTTCTGTGTTAGAACTGCCAACGGTGTGTTATAATTTTCTACACTCTTTTTTCTTAATATTCTTCCATTATTTCCTCACCCGCAAACCCTTTTAGAAATGGAAGGAGGCCTGAGCCCAGCCGTGAAATGCATATAGGCCGTAACTTTATTTTTTTTCTGTCCATAATTATTTTAAAATGCATGTTTTTCCTTATCAACTTATCATCTGTGGGTTGTACACACATAATAAGCAGGGAAACATCTCATCTCATGTAGTTGCCTAGCAACCACGTTTTCAACTTTCTTACTTCTTTTCTATCTGATATAGTGCAAAAGTGCAGGATATAAAAAAATCTCTTTTAAGTACGTAGTATTTTCCATCTTACAGTCACTTGATTAGTCTCTACTACTCGCCATCTTGATTACCTAATAGATGTTATCTTGGCATAACTGAGGAGCTTAATGAGCTTGAGCATATTAAAAAGTATTTATCTATTAGATTTATATTATTTGGGCTCCGCAAATATGATTATGTTTTCGAATTTCGCAAACAGCTCAAGGAGCTCCCAATTCGTGTTCCCGGGAATACTCATATTCTCTTCGTTTTGTACGATGTGCTGTTTAATCCCTCCACTCCTCACCTAAGTACTTAAAAGAGCGTTTTCGTTATATTTGCCTCTCCCATAATCGGTTCCACCAATTTTCTGTCAGTCTTACTCTTCGAACTCCTCCACCCAACCACCTTCTTCAGGAAACCCTTCACTGTCATCTGTACGCTTGTCGAACTCCTTCTTTTTTACATTCGTTGTGCTAGAACCCTATCTAATTTTAAAAATCTTGTCAAAACACACTTGGCACGCTTACGATATAAATGTATCAACTTATTTGTATTTTACTTTGACCGCTATCATAGTACAAATTAATAAATATTTGTATACTAGCTGGCCTAAGCTAAAAGCTAAAGCTTGTATACTAGTAGACTGCAGTTGTTCTGCCCTTTCCAGTAGGTGGTGCGATATGTTTCACATTGTATTTGTAAATCATAAATTTATTAATAACTTGACTACAGCCTCATCTATCAGCACTAGATGCACTAACTAGCACTATATTAACATGTATAGAAGTCCTTTACATCCTTAAATATAGAATTTGTTAAGAACTTATTTACAGCGCCACCTATCGGATATAAGCATATCTATGAACCGTCGTCTCGACAAAATAAATATCGGAGATACTCGTAATAATAAACCATTAAATATATTGTGTGAATCCGTCAATTCTTTCAGAAGTTACACGATCGTTAAACGATAAAATGTATAAAGAAGATAATATAATAGTAATTGTTTTTGTATGATCTCCACTTTTTTACTTTTTATTTAAATTACATCAGTCCTTAACGCAAGGGTTTTTTGAAGAAATCACTTTCAGAGTATATGTGTGTTTGAGTACATTAATACTTCTGTTTACGTTTCGATTTGAATAAATAAATAAATTAGATGGCGCAGCAAGCGCGTCATGGGAGCCATGCCGGCGGTGCTGGAAGCAACGCATCCGCTCATGCAGAAATTCCAGGAAACTCTTAAAAAATTTCTCGAGAGGGAGAACGCAATCGCTGAAGAAGAAATTAAAAAATTGGTAAGCAACGATCAAATATTAACTTTTATCACTTCTCTACTTCTTCCCCATTAGTCCGTAAAAGTCCAGTGCTGGATATGGACCTCTCGCGTTGTAGGGATATCTTGTTGAGGGGATTCGTCTTGATGCTCATGATCAGTACCAGACACCTGAGACGTCACGTCTCACACGTTGACGGTGCTGCCATTTTACGGTCTAGCCATATTTTCTTTTTACAGAATAAAAGTTACAAACGAGCACGCAGTCCACCTGATGGTAAGTGGATGCTGTGGCCCATAGACATCTACATTTACCTTCAATTAAGAATCAAAATGCAGATGCGTTGTCACCCCGGTTCTCTTCACTCACCATACGAAAGACAGCAGCATTAAGCTACTATTTTACGCTGGTTATCGGAGCCAGAAGATATTTTTTTAATCGAATAGGAGGCAAACGAGCATGCAGCTCATTTGATGGTAAGTGTCGACCGCCGCCCGTGAACAAATGTAAATCCATCAAGGGAATTGCAGGTGCGTTGCCGGCCTTTTAGAAAGGAGTAGACTCTTTTCTGGTAATTCCACTAGTGGCCTCTTACGACACTGACAACATTTGTCAGACAATTGTTTATAAAGTTAAGCATTATTTTATCAGTTGCGAATTATCTATCTATTGTCTTAAATATCGAAGACAGGTTGGAAATTTGTCGTACTTATAGTTGAACAATCAAACAGGTTTACTTATCGATTGTGACTTTTCTTTTGCTATCTCGTCAGGTGTGAGACTCCTTCTAGGGATATACTACTTGACGCCTCCGTGGTGCAGTGGCTTAGCAATGAGTGGTTGCGATGGGGGCCGTGGGTTCGAATCCCGCACGGAACAAGTATTTGTATGGCCTACATATTATTGTTCCGGGTCTGGATGTTTGTCCTTGTGCAACTTATGTTTGTAAACTGCCTCTACGATATAGGGGAAAATCCTAGTGTGGGGGTAAAAAAAAATACGAAAAAATACTACCATTATGATTCCTTCAACATCTAGTATAAGACAGCAACAGGTACAGCTAACTTAAATCAGGGAACACGTCTGCAGATATCTATTATTTGCTAGGAACATTAATAGAGGAACATATAAAGACGTCGACGAAAGAATCAGAATTCGCTTACGTACCGAAATAGGTACTTTGTTCTGGAACGTGATATTGGTGATTATTGTTAAAAAAGAAACAAAGAAAACAATATTTATTACAACAAACACCAACACACATGTTACAAAAGATATTATGCACTAAACCACTTCTAACTACAGACTATAACGAAACTAAATTCTAAATAAAATGTAATCAATTCAGTCAAAGCTTCAATATGTGTGCGGGTTTGGTATAAAAAGATCAGCATAATTTCGTGGTGTTATCCACGAAGCTGGTTTTCAGTGCGCCTTCTAGTGAGTGACGTACGGACAAATATGCAACAACAAGTACAACAATTACTACCACTACAACTGTTGCAGCTACCACGCATATACATATTAATATGAATAAAAAGAATAAAGGCGATATACATATAGATATTACCGATTTTATAATAATTATATTGCAAATTGTTATTTACATTAAACATAGGTTGTTACATCTCGGAGTCGGATATGAAGAAGAATTGTTTTAACTTTCATCCCACCTCACTCCTTACATTGATACAGCCGAAACTAAAGCCCCCACAACCCACCGCTTCTAAGTAAACAGTATAATATAGTTCGGCCGTTCAGAGAATGCGTTCCTGACACGTCGCGATTGAACTGACGACGTAATTTTGTAATGGCGTTGCAGTTACGATAAATATATTTTTGCTGGTTGTTTACCGTTTTAACAATTGATGAGCATTAAAACAACATTATTATATCAATAATCAATGAATGTTATAATTTTGTGCCAAACTGAGTGTCAAATAACTTGGTAAACAATATTTTTCTAAATCTATACTGCGCTATTACAAGGTTATGTCAGCGCTTTATATTTGTAGTGCTGTGCTAACAATAACAGGCAATAACAGTATCGTAATCTGTTCTTATACAGTTATACTTTATAAAATAATACGTTTTGTTTTTCTTTTTAAGAATTTGAAAATAATGGACTATAAGATAACTTTTATTAAATATAAAAATAAAACTAAGACCAAACCGAACGCGCGAAAGAAAGTAGCATTTTTATATTTAGGTTGAAAATGGTAACCCCAAATGGCGTTATGGGCCGCCATTTTGTGACGCTAAAACAATCGTCTGTTGTCGTTTCGTGCGCATAGACCACGTTCTTCAAGTGTTTTCGATCTGTTTTTATTTGATTACCCGGCTTTCGTTTAATGGACTGTTTCTGCTTTTCAAACTGACATCGGCGCTAAATCGGACTTCGATTGTGTTTTGTATTGCGTTCTTTTTACTTTTCGTGCATAATAATGCCTAAACGAGGACAAACATTGAAAAGTGGAGCCCGTGAGTTAATCATCAAGCTGCAAGATTACTTTGAGCGGGAGCGGCAAAATGGCGGACCGCTGTTACCTGTCGAACAAGTACAAGAACGCGTCTCTCAGGCACTTGGAGTTAGTAAACGAACGATAACAAATATTAATAAAGAAAAGTTCGGCTCTACTGGCACGGAAGATAATATTTTACGTACTCCGAAGAAGAAACGTAGAACTAAACCCGTGACAGATATTGACACCTTTGACGCCGATGCAATCAGAAATCATATATATGGTTACTATTCCAGAAATGAATATCTCAACAGGAAGAAGCTTTTGGCATCGTTAAGAGAAGCTGGACTGTTTAGCGGGGGTAAAACTGCTTTAACCAAAATCTTAAAAGATATTGGTTTTTCGTATAAAAAAACAGACAAAATAAAAATTTTATTAGAACGATACGACATAATTTTAAAACGGATAAGTTTTTTGAGAGAAGCAAAAATATTGATAACTGGGATAATGTCGTGTTCATTGACGAGACGTGGCTAAACGCCAATCACACGGTTTCCCGTTCTTGGACGGATGATACACAAGCGTCGACGTCGAAAGTACCAATGGATAAGGGGGGCCCGTCTGATAATATGCCACGCAGGTTATACAAAATACGGCTTTGTGGAGAACGCGTTACTGGCATTTCAATCAAAAACCACAAATGACTACCACGAGGAACACACACGCCCGCCACAATACTTCCCCGCCATTTAGCACGAAAAAGATGATGACCCTATTAAAAGAAGCCTGCGGGGAAGTCACAAGAGATGACTGGGCAAAGGTTGTTGAGAAGACTAAAAACCTGATTGTGGAACATTTTGACCGAGATATCAGGATTGATTCTGTTATTGATAATAATATAATTATACATGTAGGCGAAGATGATGATGAAGACACCGCCTCCTCAACGAATCGGAGTCTGATTAATATTCTGTACGCACATTCAATTCAATTATACTTTATTGCATAGAAATACAGATTGTAACTTTGTAACAAAGAATAAATAAAACAATTTTATTATATTAATATTACCTTTTTTTGGTTTCCACTTAAATTACTAAAATATAAATTTTAAATGATTCCGCCAATTTAAAACGAAAATAATCTTAAAAATAACGCGGCGGTTCATTTTGGAGGAACGGTAACGAACTCAGTGTTATGTTGTGCCCATCACTAGTCGTGACTAACTGATAGGTGTCAGGAACGCATTCTCTGAACGGCCGAACTATATAAAATAATTTAAGTATCTGTTTTTTTCTTCTTCATTTATTGCTGCCCTTTGTAATACGTTTAAAAATCTACAATAATTAACTAACACAACTTTTACAAGCTCGTGAAAAGAATAAGGAATAATTTAAGCAGACGTAAAAATTATTATTTACCTATTAGGTATATATTATTTGTTTAAAATTAATTCTGTTCAGATTTGAATGATTGATTGAATCAAACAATTTAATTTCAGCGCGACGAACTAAAAGAAAGCAAGCAAGAGTACGACAAGGACCTTGAAGCGATTTATCGCGACGACCATGATACCAACGCCCAAAGAGTACGTAAAACAAAACTAATAGTGGCCACACACGGTCAGTTAAACTGATCATTCCAAATGATCAGTTCAAACTAAATGTGTTTATATTTTTTAAAATATCGGATTTTCGATATATCCATTGGTAAACTTATATGTAAAACACCGATATTAATATATTTATAATAATCGATATATCAAAAATCCAGTATTTTAAAAAATATAAACAGTTTTAGTTTGAACTGATCAGTTGAACTGACCGTGTGTGAGGTCCATAAAAATGACATTTTAAAACGCATCTGTGGTACTCACAAATAAGTCAAGTAAACAGCCTTTTATAAAGTCCATTGCAAATAGGACGTAAAACAAAAGTAACGTTCTAAAAGCCTAAAACGCATCATTATTACGCACAAATCAAAAACGAAACATTTTTTCAAATATAGCGGGATGATAAGCGCAATTTCTGAACCTTCACACTGGTAATTCTGCTGTCTATTAAAAGTCTACGGGGTCAGTGTTTTCGCAATCAGACAATCGCCAGGGACCAATTAGCAGGGTGTACCACTGTCAGATGAGGTAGACGTTTGAAGAAAAGTGGCTTTTGCCCCTTACATATCTCTTTATGTTGAGCATTTACCCGTTATTTTAAAAAAGTTATGAAACAAGAGAAAATCCTTCAGACTTCTAGTGTGCACCAGCGGTCATTCACTAAGTCGTGTTCTGAAAAAATCGCACTCCTTGGAAAATAAACATCTCTTAGCTAACGTATCCATCTCTTTTCATCCATCATTTTTATATCTAATGGTGCAATTTTTTTAACTATAATAAGCCAGTGCCTGAGTACTGTACCACCTGATGGTAAGTGGTGAATGATGATGTAGCCGACGATGCTAAAGTGCACTGACTTAGCTTAACAACAGCCTATTTACTCTTGCCTTGAAGACAACAATATATTGTGAATTATAATTTAAAAATAGTACCGCGAGCTTTCTTGAGTTCTTCCTAAGACAGGCTTTATTAAAAGCATAAATTGATTTTCAATAAGTAATCTCGCAATTTTAAAATAACATAACATAAACACTCACGCCTGTCACCCAGAGGGGTAGGCAGAGATTACGGACTTCCATTTGGCACGATCCTGACATACCTCTTTCGCCTCCTTTACATCCATATATCTACGCATACATGCTCGTCGGTTAAGGGTACTTCTAACGTGGCCCATTTTCAAAATATCGCCAATTTGGTCGACAAACTTTTTTCTAGGGCGTCCCTTCCCGACTCGGCCGTTCACATCTGCCATATAAATTTGCTTTGTCACTCTTTCATCATTCATTCTTTCTACGTGACCAAACCACCGAAGCATTCCTTTCTTAATCCTGGTCACAACATCATCTTGCATACCACATTTATTATATTATAATTTAATTTATTATATTATAAGATATTTAAAATATCGAATAAAAAATCTTTCTCTTTTTAATAATGTCCTCCAGATCGATTTTTTTTATCACTGCAGCTTGTCTCAACGGAGACTAGCCAGGACAGGATTATAGTGCCCGAGTGTATGCGCAGGTACAGGTGCACTCTTTATGTCATAGTCCGATGGGACGGTAATCCGACACGGCCGTAGAGAGATCAGGTGCAGGGCCAAAGGCTTTACGTGTTTTGAAAGGCACAGTGGTGAAACACCGCCAACTTCCTGGCTCCGGGCTGCTAATAAAGTCTTGACAGAAAGGAACTGCGTGTTTACCACCACTTGACCAACGAGACAGTCAACTTCTCTTTACGGCGGGATTGAGCGTAAAGCTGAGTGCATCGCACTGATAATGCTATTCCTCGTAACCAGTCTGTACATTCTGGGTCGGCATTTCTTTATAGTTCAGCCGCCACCAATTATTTGAAAGAGCTTCTTTAATTCGGCGGCATGTTCAAGTCTCCTTCACATTGCACTTCACTAGGCTTCGAAATATACATGTACATGTACATTATGAAGAAACTGGTTTCTTCATTATATTTTATTTCACCGTTGGGAACGCGATAATTCAAGAATAAAATTTTAAATTCAAGCAGAATTTTAAAAGCTTTAACCAAAACTTTCGAGTTTTTCGGTAGCTCATATTACTAGCCAGTGTGCTAGAGCTTTACTCTACCAACTACAACCGCTTTTTTTTTCTTATATACTTAATGGCATAATATATTTTTGCAGCTTGAAATAATATTCAGTCTTCTTTTCATTGAACGAATTCCTTTTTATTTTTTCCTAAGGCATTAATAACGGAATACGAAGAAATGTTAACCCAAAAAACAGCGGAACGTCAGGCGGCTGAACAACGAGTACGCGATTCAACTGAAAAGTATAAACAAGCCATGGAGAAACTAGAAAAGAACGCAGTACAAGGTACGTAATATGTATAATGAGACTTTCTGTAGTGAAAACTTCTTCAACTGAAAAGTATAAGCAAGCCATGAAGAAACTAGAAAAGAACGCAGCACAAGGTACGTAATATGTATAATGAGGCTTTGTGTAGTGAAAACTTCTTCAACTGAAAAGTATAAGCAAGCCATGGAGAAACTAGAAAAGAACGCAGTACAAGGTACGTAACAGTTGGGCTGAAAAGTTCGTATCGTTTCATAGAAAAACACATTTTTTTGGCAAAACTCGATGTTACTATTCAAAATAGTTGCCATCGAGGGCGATACACCGATTATAGCGATCTTTCAACTTTTCAATACCATTTTTGTAGTACGATTTGTGTTTAGCCTCGAAATAGGCCTCTGTTTCGGCGATTACTTCTTTATAGGCTTTGAATTTCTTTCCAGCGAGCATTCCATTGAGATCTGAGAACAAGAAAACTCGCTGGGGCCAAATCTGGGAAATACGGTGGATGCGAAGGCAATTTGAAGCCCAATTCATGCAATTCTGCCAACGTTATCATTGATTTGTGACACGGCGCATTGTCTTGATGGAACAACACTTTCTTCTTCTTCAAATGGGGCCGTTTTTTCGCGATTTCGTGCTTCAAACGTTCCAATAACGCTACATAATAGTCGCTGTTGATGGTTGTTCCCTTTACCAAGATATTCGATAAAAATTATTCCATGTGCATCCCAAAATACGGACGCCACAACCTTACCGGCCGACTGTTGAGTTTTTCCACGCTTTGGATTTGGTTCAACGCGTGCAGTCCGCTCAGATGAATGCCGACTGGACTCCGGAGTGTAGTGGTGGATCCATATTTTATCGATTGTCACATATCGACGCAAAAACTCACTGCTATTGCGGTTGAACAACTTCAAACATTACTCTGAATCATCGACACGTTTTTGTTTTTGGTCGATTGTGAGCTCGCGCTGCACTCACTGTGCACATAGCTTTCGAATACCTAAATATTCATAAACGATGTGTCCAACATATCCCTTTGATATCTTTAGAGTGTCGGCTATACAAATCAACCTCAATTTACGATCTTCCAAAACCATTTTGTGGACTTTTTTGATGTTTTCCTCCAAAACAGCCTCTTTTAGACGTCCACTGCGTTCGTCGTCTTCGGTGCTCATATAGCTTGTACGGAATTTAGAAAACCACTTACGAATGTTTGCTTCGCCCGGCGCAGAGTCCGGATAATACTCATCAAGCCACTTTTTGGTATAAGCAGCACTTTTATTCGTCAAAAAATAGCGTTTAATTAACACACGAAATTTCCTTATATCTATTTTTTTTTTCAAAATAATAAAGTTGCTTCACTCAAAATGCCGTATCTCACAAACTGATTTCCCTATATAATCTTTTAGTCTTTGCAAACTAATAATCAGATAGCTGTCAAATTTTTACACGTTTCTTTTGAAGGTTGGTACTAACTAAAAATGATATGGATTTTATTCTAGTGGCGCCATCTCATAGAAACGATACGAACTTTCAGCCCACCTAATAATATGTACATAATGAGACTTTTTGAAGTGAAAATTTCTTCAGAATCGTTGCGATATGAAACGAAAAAGCGTCACTAAAAAGAGACAAACATATACATCTATAGGATTTCCTGTGAGAGAATAAGACAGAATACAGTGCAGTAAGGGATAGTAGCCTAATGATAAGATGCAGACTGTGAACTCAAAAGGTTGTGGGTTCAAATCTACCATTCGACTAATGTCGTTAACCACTCCTAACACAAGCATTTGTAGCTTACCAGTAGTGATTTAGGGGAATATTAGTAATATAAATGTTATAGTAATATAATTTTTTTAATGCTAGTGTTAATTTTAACGGTGAAAATAAAGAATATAAAAAGTTTATAAATTCATTAAATAAATAAAATTAATCATACTGATTAAAATATCTTATCATACCAATATATTCATAACAATCCTCGATTTCTTAACGTCAGGCCATCAAGCTGGACATTACAAAAATTTATAGGTGATACGTAAAATGACAAACATGACATTTTACGTATCACATATTTTACGCCCCACATGTGGTTGGAAAATTTTCTATTAAATAAATAATTTGCCGTGAAATATTTTCATTTTATATTAGATTCCGTTGATGGTTTCACTCCTACCGCTTGTGAACACTGCACACCATGTGTTTTATTAAAAGGCTTTAATTCACACATTCACATTACTAATAATGGAAACGGAGCCTTGAGTAGGGACATACATGTACTTCCCAAGATTCGGTCCTTTTAACGGGATGATTAGAAGGACCACGAGAGGTGGTGGATTAATTACATCTATTTTCAGAGCGGGAGGCAACTGAGGAGCTTGAGGCATTGACGACGTTGTGCAAGCAGTTGGAAGCGTGGAGGGAAGAGACAGAGTCAGATTTAACAGTCAATCAGCGCATGTCGGAGAAGATGAGGGCGGAAAAAAGAGCTTTAGCAGATGAAAAACGCCAGTTGGTATGGGGCCAATGAAAATCCTTATATCAACAATATTTTCTTAGCGCACCGTCTGGGTTACTCAGTTAAAACTATGTTAATTTTATGCTATTGCGGTTCCCTCGTTTTTTGACTCTAGAAAATCCAAAAATCATTCGATTTCGATGTTTTTTTTAAAATCTTCGTTTTTACGGCGCATTTACGAATAAAATTACAAGAATAAAAAAATTTTACTTATATTGGTCTCAGAGCTTTAAATGTTCATGAAAATGCACATTCACGATAATTGTTGATAACTTTTTTACAAATAATGACGAATTAAAATGAAATTCTTATATATTTTTTCATAATCTACACAAAAAAACGAACATTTAAAAAAAAACTATATATTTACGAGTATATAGGATAAAAAAATATATATATATATATATATACACATACATATTAGATACCTCAACTGGATGTATCTAGAAAACTGGAGCGAAATTGCAAAATATTATAGTTTTTCCTCAATTTATACACTAAACATTAACTGTATTATAAATTTGTTATTCGTTTTTACTAAAATATTGTCTCCGAAAATGGACGCTGAAATGATTCTATTATTTTTACAGGATATGATCATATACAGTCTCAGCAATGAAGTGTGGAAGTTGGAGTCCAAGTTGGAGATGTTCCAGAAGCAGCTCGACATCAAGAACGCTGAGATGGAGCAAGTTAACGATAAGGTTTCTTCTTAATTTCTTATTTACTCAGCAAGCGATTTTTTAATTAAAACAATATACATTTTATTGTTACTTTAATAAAGAATCATAAAGGGTTTTTAAATAGTTGTCCCTACGCAATCCTTGTGAACTGAAGTGTGCTTGCTTGCGATACCTTTCTGTGTGACTTGTGAGAGGTTTAAAGGGTAAATAATAATGTCAAGAGAGTGCGCTACTGTGTCATGGTATACATCGACTCCGTAAATGAAATCAAGTTAAAAATATAAAACAGTGGTTTTTTAATGTGTTAAAGTGTTAAGTGATACAAAACCTTGGCATAAATATTATATATTGGAGTTAAGTGACATAACTATCCACAAACAATTGAAAATCAAAACTATCTATAGTGCAAAATCAATTGTCAGTGATTTCTGTTTGTGGATTTTTTCTCGCAAATACAGGCTAAACACTAATTAAAATAATGGTAAAGTAAGTCAATGATTCTGAAGTGTAATGTGGACAAAAATTAAGTGCAGTTTTACCATTTTGTTGAAAAGATAAAAAACACAACCTCAAAATTAAATGACTGTTCAAAATTACTAGCTGTAACCGTTCAACAACTCTCAAACAACGTTCAGCGCCATCTGTTATAAACATACCATATTACAACGTTAAGCAATTGAGCTCTTATTGAGTATTTACCATCAATCTGATAGTACAAAGTCTGTTTACAAGAGGGCGCCTCAGGTAGAGAAATACTAATAAACCATGGAAGAAATTATGAATGCACTTAAAAAAATACAAAAAGAATTAGACGAACAAAAAATTATGATTCGTAAAAGCGGAGAAAATGTAACAGAACAAGTAAAACAGAATATAAATAAAATATTGGAAGAAAAATTTTGTGTATGGGAAGAAAAACATAAAAAATTGGAAGAAAGAGTTGCAAACCAAGAGAAAAGACTGTACTTCTTGGAAAAGCAGGCAAAACAAACAAACAATTTTATCAAGATAGTAGAGGAACATTCCTCTATTAAATTAGATAGTAGAGATATCCAAGAAATGAAGAGAATAGGAAAAAAAGAGGACAGACCTCGCCCAATGGTAGTAACATTTACAACTCTTGGTCTGAAGAACAAAATTTTTAAACAAAAAGGGGCACTAAATGACACCATATTAAGAAAAATTACCCGCATAGTTTTACAAAAAAGAAAAGAATTACAGCAACAACTAAAAATAGAGAGAGAAAAGGGAAATAACGCAATCATAAAATACGACAAACTAATTATACTAAAAACAAAATAAAAGAACATTGTTACCTCACCTGAAAACTAAAAGGAAAAAAACATGCAAGCCAGTAAGAAAAACAAAACTCTAAAATTGAACTCATCAGCTCAGAGATCCAATATATTTCTGAAGGAGTTTTGAAACCTGGCATGCTGAACTATTTAGTTAATAATAATACCAACACAAATACAAATATGACAACAAAGACAAAAATACATAGCAACTAGCACCCCTCTCTACTACAGATTTTATAAAAAAACAAGTCCAATCAAGCAATATAAAATATCTTCCAACCCGGCTGGTCACCGTGGAAGATTATGACCACCACCCTCCAAAGAAAGACACGTTAAAGCTCTACATAGCAACATACAATGTCAGAACACTTGCCTCTTATGAAAGATTAATTGAACTAAGTAAAGCTCTGGATAGAGTCAAATATGACATTATTGGTTTGTCCGAAGTTAGACGCCTTGGAATATAAGATAAAAGAATACGAGGATTTCATACTTTGTCACATAGGCCATACGCCAGGAAAACACGGAGTAGGCTTTCTACTAAACAAATCTTTAAAACAAAACATTGTAAGCTTTACCGGCATCTCAGAAAGAGTAGCACTGCTGAACATCAATTTACAGGGATATAATTTAAGCATAGTTCAAGCATACGCTCCCACAGAGACAGCAGACGAAGAAGAAATCACGGCGTTTTATAACTGTATAGACAAAGCATTGGAGTCAGCAGATAAACATTTAATATTGATGGGAGATTTTAATGCTAAAATAGGACAACCACTAAAAGATGAATACAAAATAACAAAACAATACGGATATGGGGAAAGAAACGAACGAGGCCAGAGGTTAATAGACTTTGCTTATGAAAACAATCTATCTGTGATCAACACCTACTTCAACAAAAAACAAAGCAGCAGATGGACATGGCGCTCTCCAAACGGAAAATACAAAAATGAAATCGATTATATACTTTCTAATCAACCAAAAATTTTCGTGAATAAGTAGAAACACTAAACTTAAATTACTCCTCAGACCACAGAATGGTCAGAGCTACGGTAGCGCTAACAAATATAAAGAAAAGCCAAATAATATATACGAACCATCAAAAGAACATTCTTAAAACAGAGGCAGAAATAAAAAAGTACAGAGGCAGAAATAGAACAGTACAGTACGATGGGAGCTTCGAAAGAAGCGCTTTGTGCCAAACCCGAACGAAATTCCCCTGGACAGCCTTGGCGAGAGACCAGAATGCACGAGTTCCAGAAGGAAGACGAACTAGTTTCTCGCCAATTCTGCCTATGTGCTCTGACTTTGCCTTGGCAATGACTCTTTTGAAGGACCTAGAGGCGGAATTATACTTCTTTTTTCGCTGGTGCTTACATCCCGGGACGCTGATGCGTCAGCCCAGGCTTTGTAGCACTCCTGCTTATAGCATGATGCTATTTTACAGGAGCAACCAAACCTTGGCTGAGATTTGCCTCCAATGGGCACCACAGAGGAAGGAATAAAAAGTTCCATACCCTGAAGTACCACATCAGCGACAGAATCCGCAACAACGTTGGGATCGTCCGGCGAGAAGCAAACCCGCCCCCAAGGGTAGGATGCAAAGAAAGACCGCATCCCATCCCAATCGGCTGACCTATAGTACCAAATACGGCGGCAGCCTGCAGAATGCAACTGCGATTTCAGCGTGAGTGGCACCACACTCCGAACAAGACAATGTTCCGAGGAGCCAAAAGGGGCGTCGACGGAAATCTGATATCCGTCCGAATGAGAGGTCAGCAGAAGGTCCAACAGGGAAGGTGCATGATCCTCCACATCTGGAATCCGCGTAGGCGAAGTAACCAGTTGTGTCAGACCATATGCCAAGGCAAAATCATGAACAAATCTCCCCGCATGATCGGTTAAACGTGAACCAAGCCATTCGGCGTGATGGGCGTTAAAGTCGCCGAGGATCACGATCTCTGCGGAGGGGATCTGCTGTAGCAACGAATCTGTAGCCATTTGGACGTGGTCGAAGAGTCGGTCTGTTTCGGCATTACCGCTATGGGACCTATAGAGGCACCCGTAGACGCGCGGATGGTCGTCGCTGTCTACGCGTAGCCAAAGGATGGACAGGTCCGAACCACACTTCTCTCTGACGTAAACGCAAACTCCAGCCCGAGGCACAAAGGAGTGTTCCAGTTTGTACCACGGGTAGGAGAGGATGAGACATCAGCCGGAGAGGACACCTGCGTCTCGGTCAGAAAGAGCAGAGCCGGCCTCGCCATCTCTAGATGGTAGTGGACGGCGTTTAGGTTAGAGTGAGGCCCCCTGATATTGCAGAAATTCACGGACAGCGTGGCAGGGGTCGCCTTGGTCTTGTTGCTCTGTTTGCCCCGAGCAGTTGTCTCTGTGATCATGTGTTTATTTTTAAATGAAATTAACGAAAAGATACGTGGATTCTTTTACCGTACACGTATGTTCTCGGAATATCTCCAAAATAACTCAATAATGAAATAGTGTAAATTTATAAAATATATATTTTTAGTGTTTCATGCAAAATTTAGGAAAACAGAATCAATTTTTTTAAATATTTGTACCAAAAATGCAAACGCCATTAATGTTTAAAAGTAAGTGGGGCTTGTGGTGCGAAACAATGGATTCCGTTTTGCTAAGCATATTTTTTATTTCTTACGCTGATAAATAAATAATTTTTCATGTAATTCTTCCCTTTAATTATTTTTGAACGCGTATTCGATTAATTTCCTCTTATTTCACAGCCCTGTTTGAGACGTGTGACTAGTAATACATAAATATAATTAAGGAATTCGACTAAACTTCATCAGGTGACTGCCTATGCAGCAGAATTGGAGGACTTGGAGCTGGATAAACGTCGACTTATGAGCCTTTGGAACTCTGTGCTGGTGAATATACAACAGCGAGATAGGGCTTACGATTCCGTACGGGACGACTACAGGTAAAGAAAATTTGAACTTTTTAACTTTATTTCATTTATGGCGACGGCGGCATGGAGGTGAGGGAGGTAGTGGCGTAATTGCAACCACCATCGTTTGTCCGGTAGTTGCCGAAAAGAGCGGCTACAGAAAAGGTCAAAAAGATTTTCAATAGGTGGCGATATACCATCTCATATATGACAGATATAAATACCAATATTTGCTGTGGCGTGTAGTGATAGCGTAAAAGAATTCCACTATCCCAAGTCATCCCGTAGGTGTAGTAAAAGGAGACAAAGGAAAACCAAAACAGGATATGGGAAGATGTTCTTCCTGATAACTGTCATTTTGTTGTAAAGTCGACACAACAAGTTTTTTTAATGTTTATGTTTGCACTTTGATGCTATTTAAGATTGAAAAGCGAGAAAAGATTTCAATACTAACTTTTTGTGGGTTTGATCCTTTGTATAATTACGTTCGATTATCCATATTTAAGTACATATTTAATTTTTGCGAATGTCTTTAAATCGCTAGTTAGATTCACATGTCACTTGGGCGATACCTCGAAAATTTGATGGTTTTTCTATTTCATATATTTTTTTAGGTTTTACAGATTACGAGCCAAATTTTTGGTACATGATTTTGACCTTTGATTTAATAACACACAAGGAAAACACGATAACATGTAATTTTCTCGATAGGAAAAATTGCAAACTAGGCTCTAATAGTTACATTTCTCAATAATACTACAATACTTTTAGGAATAAGTTCATGGAATTATTTTTAAGGCATAGTAAATAATCATATCTACGTTCTCATAAACCATTTTTTTAGTTCATAACAATTTTGTTAAAAAAAATATGTTTGGCGCTTAAGTACATAGTTTTTTTTAGAGCGCGTGCGGGGTATAGCTGTCTCATAATTTGCGTATTATGAAGTCATTGCATCAATTTCATTTTGACACTCCCTCAGTCGTCCGTGAGCTTCACCGACAAAGGAATAAGCCACACCCCCAAAACTATGGTTCATTTTCAAGGAACCGCTTCGCAGCTGCTGATTGTGTGAAGAATTTATGAAATATATTTAACCGTCCTGAATTTAGTTACCTAAAAATACATAGGATATCAAGAAATAACTAAGATTTAAGAATTTTGTGTATTCAATACAGAGTGCTGCAGGAGAACTATCGAACACTGATTAACAACCTAGAGATAACGAAGAAGGTGGTTATGGAGGAGATGAATAAGGGAAGGGAGATCGCAATGAACAAGGACAAGGTTCTCTACGATATTGCAGCTGCGAACAAACTGCGTTAGTATTGAAAATACTTGCATTATGGTGGCGGTTGAGACCCAAGAAAAGAGAATAGGGTCCATTGCCCTTTCTCTTTTTGTAGGAGATGCTATCCATCCATTACAGCCTATAAAAGTCCACTACTGCACATAAACCTCTCCATAGATTACTTTATAGATTGATTTTGCAAAAGTTGCCACGCTTGGCAAACATATTGGTAACCGTATTTTTTTCATTTAGGGTTATCAGGAAAATGCTGCTGACCATCTCCTATTCCAGTTTCTACCGTCATCTCTTTCGATGCCCACGGGCTGTTAGTGGATATTTTTATACCGCTACTACCAGGAGCTATAAGAACAACTAAATCAAAATTCCAAAGCAATTTTTTTAAAAGACCGACCAAAAAATTATGAAGACACCGAATAACTTGGTGTTATAGTCATGTTCTTGCACTCACCACGCTTTAGCTCGCTGCCCCAGACGCCACCACACACTTTGACACTTCTTCCATCATAGTATAAATGTTTTATAAGTTAAATCTCTTCTTTATTTTCTTATAAGTTGGCGTTATAATTATACATCTATTGTAAGACAATGATGATTTGAGTAATAACATTCATGGATTCCACCTTTTTTCATGGGAAAATGCCTAAGCATACCCGCCTCTCGGGGCCATGGACGGGCTTTTACCGATTAAATACTCTTATCGTTCTACTTTCATCAAATACTGACAGAGCCATAGGCTTTCGCAGATATCCACGAGCCCAATTGCGCCAGCCGTCTTTTAGTGTCTTCTCGCAAGAGGTCAATTCCTCCCTCACATGGCCTGCGATGAGTGACGCTTATAAATCGTATCCTTCCATATTCATCTCGTATTACGCCACATTTAGCGTCAATGATACAAGACTTCTGGTGCTGCGATCGCAAACGCCTCTTAAGTGTTAAATATTGAAAATACTACCCATAAAGAAAGACCAGGTCTAGCAGTGAACTATGAGGGGCTGATAAAAAACAAGAATTGCAATTTTTGATTTGCGAATTCGAATGAAAGATTAGAGATACTGTAAATACAGTATGTACAAGAAACATGTCCGACCTGTCATTTGCTTTTAGGCGTCGTAATATAATTCTGTTCATGCAATCCTTTTCAGAGCAGGAATAAATAAGTCCACTTCTGATAGCTCTCCCATAAAAATAAAACTAAATTTAATTATATAACCGTAACATGTTTATATTCGTCAATAATACAACATGACGTTGTTTTTTTTTTGGTAATGTAATTACAGTACTTACGTGAGCGTTTCGGATCGGAAAGGATTTTCTTTAGATAATATTATGTAATATTTAACTAAAATTGTAACCCATTTTTAAAATAATAGTGGAAGGAGACGAAGCGAAACGAACAAATTTAGAAACACAAATCATCCAGCTCTCGGAATCGATAGAAATGGCAGAAAGAGATCAAGAGCTTATCAAATCGGTAAGGATGTTAATTATTGATAATCATAGTTTTAATCATAACCGTATTTTGAAAATTGGAATGCAAATAATTTATTCTGCCATATTATATTGTTGCATTTATTTAATTTTGTGTTATAGGAGAATCAAACGATGAAGAACATCCTTAAGAGCACTAAAAAAGAGTGCCAGAGAAAAGAGGGGCAGAAGTTGAAATTGGAAAACGAAATTCTAACGAACCTTCAAGAGTGTCTTCTGAACGATAAAGCCGTTGAGTCGATGGCCAACGGTATTAAGAAAATGAGGGAAATGTCTAGAAAACAAGTAAGTCATTTAATTTTTTATTACATTTTTATTTAGCACAATCATACGTAATAATCTTATAGCTATATCTGTAATGATCTTTCTGATAAATTCGATAAGTGTCCTAAAGTTATATTTACAAGAATTTATTTTTGAAGAGCAAAAATAATGTAAGATTGTGCGCATAGGATGGACAAAGGTTAATTTGTCGCTCAAAGTAGTTTGTAGCGTACTTCATTTGTGAACTCGCTTGTATAGTGGCATAGAATCAAGTGAAGAAAACCAGTGTTGACAATGTCAATTACACAGTCGCTTGAAATAGATTCTTCTTCATTATCGCCATCATCAGCTCGTAAAATTTCACTCCTTGACATCGACCTCTACGGTTGTAGAGGATTTTCGTTAATCACTTGACAGGCGAATTGATAATCCTAACTCCGGCCTCGGACCTTTGATACTGCTCCCGTCGCGTCGCCGGCCTGGGTATTTTACGCCTACTATAACGCCGGAATGGTATTACCGCCATCTTTCGGAAGCCATAAGTTTTTTAGGTGGTAGAGCTATGATATACATGAGCTGCTGCACGAATGGGTCGTCTCTGCTGGGTACGTATCACTCTCTCACAGAATACCAGCGTTAAACTGCAGAATTATTCTGTTGTGTTTTCTACGGTGAGTGTAGAGAACCGGAGACTCTTTTTAATGGTAACGAAGCATTCCATCATAGACCTCAAGGGTGACAACGCATATGCATTTTAATTCGCAATCGATGGATGATACAGAAGTAGATATCTTTGGATCATAGCATCTACTTACGAGGGTGACACTGAAAGTTCTTAGAAATCAAAAACTGAACAAACTAGCAAGTTATTAGTTTTATTATATCTTTTCAAAATAGTGTCCATTTACATCAATACATGGCTGCATCCGATGGAACCACTGAGAAAAGCACTTTGTCCACTCGTCCTTAGATGTCTCTTCGACGGCATTTTGAAACGCAGCCTTCCTCGGCGTCCATGAATCGTTTTCCTCGAAGTTTTTCTTTTATTTTCGGAAATAAACAAAAATCGCAAGGTGCGAGGGCTATAGGGCGGGTGACACAGACACGTCTGACGTCGCCAAGTTGTCGATTGTTTGCTTGGCGGTGAGGGACAATTATCGTGGTGAAAGAGGATCCTACTGCGAGGTCGTTTCTCCCGAATTTTTTCCAAGACAAGTGGCAAACAATTGTTTGTGTACCACTCTGCAGTAACTGTTTTTCGATAAAATTACCGGGAAAAGTAGATAAAGTATTATAACAATGATTATATTTGTTATTTTATAGGAAATAGCATTAACAGCAATGGAGAATCAACACGCGAAGATGGTTCTAGATATTGAGATGCATCGCAACAAACAAGCGCAAAATAAACTTATTCAAGAAGAAACTCTACGCAAAGTGAAGGAAAGGGAGAGCGAAATAGATCAGCTACAGGAGAAATATGATCAAAAAGCGCTTGTACTTACAAGAAAGCAGAGAGAATTGGATATCATTACTAAGAAATATACTGCCCTTAAAGAAATATTCGACGTAAGTACTAAAATTATGTTTCCAATAAGAATTATATTTTTTATATTATATATATTCGCCAATTCTAAACACATTGTAATGCTTTTTTTTTAGTGAATAGGCTCTATTCTTAATTTTTAATCTTAATTCTTAATTTTTTCGTAAAATACCTCAAGGGATGTCTATTTAAATTTGAAGTAAAACTTTCACCCCTAAGGGTGGAAGAATGGGAGATGAGATTTTGAATTTTACTATTCAGGTTATAATTTAGTTATTACCTTGAGCTTGTGATACATGTCGGAAGCTATTAGATATTTCTGGGTTTCTCACAATCACCTCTTAAGACACCTACGGGACGAAATGGGGAGATTTGTAATACGGCATACGGCTAATAAGCTCACTGCTGATCTTGAGTTTCAAACCCTATTGGACCAAAACCTATTGCTGGGTTTTTCTATCAAGAATCTGTCACTAGCAGCCGGAATGCAGGAAGTTAGATTGCCATCCTATAGTACTATCAGAGTGTGGGAAAAGAGAGTGCATGTGTTTTTGGCACAGTGACAGTGCATTCCGTTGAAACAGCAGGAACCAAAATATGGTCTGGACATTGATGTTAATATGGTAGGTACTAAAATTTTGTTTTCCCAGATGAAATCGCCACAGGAGCGTCGCATCGAAGATCTGGAGAAACAGATCAGAGAGCTGCGTGAGAGGACTGAGCGGGCTCAACACGAGTGGCTGCGGCTGCAGGGACACGTCGTGAAGCTCGCCGCACAGCATCACACTATACTCACGGACATCAACCTTATTAATAAACGTAAGAACTAGTCTTCTTATTTTTATAGAACAATGGTGACAAAAGAGCACAGTACGATTAAGAATCGTCATCGCTTTCACAGCCTATTAAAGTCCACTGCTGTACGTGGGCTTCCACCATAGATTGCCTCGGAGGGTAATATTTTCCATAGCTGCCACGCTTGGCAAGCGGGTTGGCAAGCAGTAGACCAAAAAGGTTATGAAATCATCTAACACGGCACGGCGCACTATGGGACGAAATGATCCATCTCAAAAATGGTTTGGACAAAACTCGTATTACTGAAAGCGGTTTGATTGTTTTATATTCTGAGAAGATAGAGCTATCTGATATAATAGTAAGAAAAATGAGTTTTACGTATATAAAATTGCACCCAAACTTTGCGCTTCGATAATTTCATATTAGGGTCAGGCCTTAGATTTTGCCACAAATAGCGCAACGGTGACCCAAAATATTCTACGAGTCTGTCGCGCAGAGTAACGCAAAACGGTAACGCAAAATAGTTAAGGTGTATACATTGTGTGTTTTTACCCGACTGCCAAGGAAGGGTTAAGTTTTCCGTGCGTATCTTTTAAGTATTTTTGTAAATTTCTTTATTACCTCGTATAATTCTAAACAGTTTGATTTCGACGATTACGCTGTCATTAGATTCGTCTCGAAAACCCAAGTATCCTTGGATAGGTGTAACAAAAAAAAAAAAAAACAAAATGACGTTTTTGACGCAAGTACACACACACACGAGTAGGATATCAAAATGAAAAAAATTAAAAGGAGACAAAAGAGACGACGTGAGCCGTGCAAGCGCAGGCAAGAAGGAATGCCGGGCATACAAAAAATTTATAATGCAAGTACGTTATCTATTAAAAAAAATTAGAAACCTTGCATAAAAAATACGTGTACAAAGTTGTCAAAACGGACGATATTTTTTAAAGTTGTTTAAAAGGTGCTCTTTGGTAAAATCTCCTTATTGTCTCTTTTCATTATAATATACTAATTCAATATATAGTAAAAATATGGGTTTCCAATCTATATTTTTTTACCCACGGATTATTGACAACATCTATAAACGTTTTTTTACCTTGGTTTTGACTGGTTTTAAATTTTGATTTAAAAGAGTCCGTGAGAACATTGTGTTCTAAAATCTTTTTCTATAGTTTATTTTACCGGTGTTGCAACATTATTCAGGTAACAAAGTTTTCTGATCTCTTATACGGAGTGTTTTCTTGTTCTTGTCTAAAAGCATGGCTTTCAGTTTCAGCTTCCATCCCCTGGTGTTTCTGGTGTTCTTTGCTAAATCGCGGTGGTCACTCTTTAATTTACGCATTTCTCTTTTGAGAGAACCTCTCATTAATTTTTAATCGTGTTCACGAAGTTGATTATTTTCACGTCGATTTTTTTTCTCAATATTTCTCTGAATATTTCTAATCGCAGTCTTATTCATTTACATATTGTTTCTACCTTTCGTCTCATTGTGGTCGGGTCTGTCTGAAACTTGTGCAGCCAAAATATTTTGAGTTTCCTGTTTGTTTTCATTTGGAGGGTTTTCTGTATGATCCTGCGCATTGGTAGATTTTTTACTGGATGTAGACTGGATTGTGTGGATAGTTTACCGAATACTGTTTATTTTCTGTAATAATTTTAACCTGTGTATTTCTTTTTGTGCATCATTTAAAGGTTTTTTTATTTTGGTAAGCTATGATAGCTCTTGATTTATGTTTCTTTTTCATGTCTAAATATTTTTCAGGATTGGTTCCTGTTAATTTTTCCTTAAACCTCCTTGATTTTTTGGACTGAATCAGAGGCATCTACAAGGAAATATTGACGTTATAGCTTACAGTAACGTAACGTAAAACGTACAGAAAATAAAAAATACTAAAATCATAGCCAAGTAGATCTTTAAATATATTATTTTAAAATGTCAAAAATCACATGTATATTGGTCTGATTATTGATGAACGTTTCTGCTGGAGAGCGCATAAAGATCACGTGTGTGCAAAACTTCGCTCTGTGTTAAGTAAACTTTATGTTTCAAAATTTAAACAGGCTTAGCAGTTATGGTAGAACTTATGTAACGTACATACAGGAAATTTACACATTACAACGCAAGATGCTTCGATGGATAGTGCCTAATCACATTAAATAAGTACATAGATAATGACCAGGGCCTTTTTAAATATTGCAAAGTCATAAATGTTTTCGATAAAGTTAAATTTAATATACTGACGGAAGTTAATAATTCAGAATATCTACTTCTTAAAAAACAACCTGTAAATCTACGAAATATAGCTTATAAATCCAACATGAATGTACTTCCGAAAACTGAAAATTTCTATGGAGCATGAAAGTCTGCCCATCTTGTACCTACCTTTATTAATGAATTGCCAATAGAATTACAAGATACTTACGGTAAATCCAAGCTGTTTAAAAGTAAACTTAAATCATATTTGTTAAATCAACCATACTTATTGTAGTAGGTACTTCTGTTAGAATAATGTGATTTAATATTAATACATCTTTGTTTATATAAGACGACTCTCTGGCGTAAATAAACCCCTAGAGGTTTATATGCTAGTATTGTACTGGATAATGTAACAAAATTATGGATAATAAATTAAAAAAAAAAGATTTACACTAGACAGACACACAACACTCACGAAATCCGGCGATTTATCAGATAATTTTGACGACGCTTGTACTTATTAATGACTGGATTCCACGAAGTTTGCTTCCTTTTTCGTCTGGATTGCCCGTTTTTCATCCTGTATACGTTTCACCTAAGGATCTTTTAGTAGAGTTGTACGTGAAACGGATGACATAAAAACTTGTCTGAATTTCAACCGGGAACACAGTTATAAGTTTTATCTTGGAAACCAGTCTTTATCTAATAATAAGTTCTTTATTTTCCAAGAGGTTGTACATCAAGATATTTGCTTAATATTTACTAAAGCTACATTGGTACATATACCTGAAAACATAGCATCTGCAGCCGAACTAGGAGACCTGTGCATCAGCTGTCAGCGCCATATCCCCACCGTTAATTTATAAAAATATTAGGATGCAATACAACAATGAATGAAATGTTACAATGAAATTAATTGGATCACATATCGACACCTGCAAGGAAAAACATCGTAAGTCACTTTTTAGCGATTTTGAGTTACGATCATATTCCCAGTAAATAAAAAATTATCTTTCATTTGCGCTCACCCCTGTATCTAAATTCATTCACGTTACGATTTTGGCTAGTAGAAAAATGTTGTAAGTCAGTGTCCACTGAAGGTAATAAAAAGTATATTCAGTTACACATACTTACTTATGCCTGACATAAATTTATTACATAACAATAATTGCAATACAAGATACTCTCTTGTTCTTGGCAATTATATTTTCGTAATAAAAAAGCTTTCATCGTAAAATTGCTTACGATGTTTTAATGTTTAAACAGAAAATAAAAATATCAGTCCAAAGACTGTAACATAAGTTACAATTATTTTCTCTGCAATAATTTTCGGGTTATGTTTGTTTAACGATAGGATATTAAACTTACGATGCATAGATTCTTGATCGCTTCCTCAGGCGCCCCTCGCACGTGTTATTGATGTTGTGTACAAGTTACGACGTGTTTTTTGCCGGAACTTGCATACAATATTGGATGGTTTTAATATGAAAACAGTTAAAAAAATGACGATTTTTTTTGAAGACGAACATGTGAACAATCGAAATAATGACGTTGAGAATAATGTACCACCGGAAAGGAGGATGTCACCAAATTTTGCGTATATAATGAAGTCCATTAAAATTACGTATGAACCTGGACTGGAAGTATGTTAGGTTTGTGTTAATTACGTTCTACATGATTGATGCAATAGAACCTGGACTACGAACCTCTAAAAAACAAAGTAATGTAATAGGGAATGGAAGTCAAACTAACGCAGAAGAGCCTAGAATTTCATCACACATTAATGCTAAAGAAAAAAAGAAATATCCGAAGAAAGTTAACCCAGGAAGGAAGAGATTTTTTGAATAAAGAAACTTGGAAGGCTGAAATATGTAAACGAAAGAAAAATTTGGGGGAGTAATTTATAAATAGAAAAGGGCAGTTAATAGCGAAAAAAATTATGAAACCAGACTGTGGTGCTAATTGTTCACGTAAATGTCGAGAAGCAATCACAGAAAACCAGAGAAGTTTAATACTTAAAAACTTCTGGGAACTGGGGGATCATAATAAACAAATGGATTACATTAGCCGATTTGTTAGAAGAGTCCCAAAAAAACAAGTTATTGTCGCCTCGGCCTCATCCAGTAGGCGCAAGTGGTCTTTTGAATACAATTTGTTTATAGAAGGTCAAGAAATACGAACCTGTAAGACGATGTTTTTAAACACCCTCTCTATAAGCGACATGTGGTTGCAGACTTTATTTAAAAAAATTGATAAGTGCTACAGGTACTATAATAAACGATAAAAGAGGTAGACACGGCACGCGCAAAAATGCCGTTCCAGATCAAGTCAAACAATCTGTTAGAGACCATATTTCACAAATGCCATTAGTAGACTCACACTATGTGAGAAACAGAACATCTAAACAGTATCTGGATGAACAACTGAACTTTCCGATACTCCACAAACTTTATTTGGAATGGATGAATGAAAAACATGCCGATCAGGTCGTTGCGACTTCAAGACAGTATAGGGAGATATTTAAGACAGATTTTAATATAGACTAACAAACCAAAAAAAGACCAATGTCCAAGGTGTGATTTATTTAAAAATTCAACTGAGACTGACAAAACTAAGCTAGAGTATGAGCACGCTTTACATATTGCAAACAAAAATGTGGTCAGGTCTTTAAAAGATAGTGACAAAAACCGAGCTAAACACTCTGATTCTGTTGTAACAGCTTGTTATGATTTACAAAAAATTTTGAATACTCCTCATTCAGAAGTGTCCGTATTTTACTACAAAAGAAAACTTGCTACATATAACTTCACGATCTATGATATGG